ATCACATTGCTATTCACTGAAGATGCTTAATGCATGCACTTTCTGCTGACTTAGGAATTCTTTTTTTTTTTTTTTTTTTTTTTTACCTTAGCTCATGTCCATGAGTTATAAACACACATTGTTGACAGTCCCAAATTTGCTGATTTACAAAAGCACCAGTGGGAACGGTACAATCCTGCTTAAAAAAAAAAAAAACCAGTATGGCATTAAATTAAGCACAACCTAGTATTTAACTTTGGGAGTGCAGCGTTCAGTGTTGGATCAAGTCCTTAGAGCTTGGAGGCAGGAGGCAGCATATGTCTCATGTATTAACAACACACAATCACGTTTAAGAGACTGTGTAACTATAATATGGAGTTTCACTTTCTCTAATTGAAACATGGAGCTGGGAAGACAGTTCAAAGGGTTCGGGAACATTTACTATACAAGCTGAAGGACCAGAATTTAAATCCTCAGCACCCATGTTAAAAAATCCCTGTGTGGTCACACTCACGCCAGTAACCCGTCCCTGAGAAGGGAAGACTGCTGTGTCTTGCTGACTGCCAGTCTAGTACCGGCCTGAGTGAGAGACCCTGTCCAGAGGGACTGGCCTGGCAGAGGGCAGAGCAGGTCGCCGGTGTCTTCCTCTGGTCTCTCAGTCGTTCACTATGTAGTGCACACACACACACACACACACACACACACACACACACACACGTGCAGGTGAAATAAAAAGAACTAGGGGTTGCTCCAAACTTGTAAATATTGTAAGTACCGGTTACACTGAGAGGTTTCAGCGTTCAGTGGACTCTGCGTGTTCACAGTGGGGATGCTTAATCAGTAAACTCAGCAGATACCTGTAAATCTGAAAAACAGTGAAATCAGTTTAGTTTCTAACCATGTTCCAGAAGGCTCACCTAAACGGCTAATATACTAGAACAACCAGTATTGTCTCCACGTTGCCACAGTGCTTCCCACTAACTGGTGCTGCTCCAGTTTTTCCTGATGTCGTAGGTGTTCACGCATTCATCCGTGCAACCTGCAGTAGCAGACTCGCTGTGTGCCAAGATGGGACCCTCTCTGGTGGGTGTAGGACACTATTTATTGAAATTCTAGACAGCAATTGCACAGGAGAGGGCAGTAGCAAAGTGAATCCTGCAAAGGAGGGGGGGTGACCTGTGGGCACCAGAGCAGGGTGCATGGAGGTCCTGCTGCTGTGAGACACACCTTGAAGAGCTAAGTTAGGAGTACAGGAGAGGAATTCCAGAGAGGGAGGATGGTCATATGCAGGATACCTCGGATGGAAAGGAGGCCCAAAGACAGCGCAGGGGGCAGTTCGGTGGGTGGTGACATTATCTGGTGAGTTGCAGCTTTGTTTCTGGAAAGTCTGGAATTCCCAAGGCAGGCAGCAGAGCAGGCCATACGGCAATGGATTTTTTTTTTTTTTTCAGCAGGGGAGTGAAATAAATGGGCAGAGCTGTTTGAGAGGTTGCTGCTGGAGATGTGGAGGATGGATTAATGGGCTGGAAAAGATTGGAGGTGGGAGGTCAATTAGGAATCTGTTGCCAAAGGGTGCAGCTAACAGCCGTAGAGAGTGGGGGAGAGGCAGCTGTCTACAGAGACAGCAGAGAAGGAGAAAGCAGTAAAGAGAAGCCACTATGTCAGAATCAGGGGAGATGGGGAGAGTTTTGGGGACTGAAGGAGGAGCCCAAGGGAGGAAGGAGCAGGGATGCGGGACCGGAAGCCGATCACAGACCTGCTAGGATGCTGCCCTGGAGCCCAGGAGCTCACAAGCTCACGAGCAGCAGGATGTCTCCAGTGGGCATGGACCCAGGAAATAAAGGCGCTGGAGATTTGGGGAGGGAGTGTCAGCCATGGGGAAGAGGAGCCTGGCATCAGACTGGAGAGTTGGGGACCAGTGGATTTGGGGAACAGGCTGATGGTAAATGTAAGAAAGCTTGTTGCTGAGTGGGTGTAAGATCAGAGCAGTAGGGGGAGGGACAAGAAGTGCCAACAGGTAATCCATGACAACCAGGACTGGAGTGATTGCATCAGTAGGGACCAACTCCAGAGAAAAGAGTTTCCCCGAGGAACAATAAAACCACAGCAAGAAAGCCATAGAGACTGATTTCAAGTTGGATTAGAAAAGATGATTTCAATTGGAGGTGTATTTCTAAATCACCAACTATTACACTAACATAATTGGAAAACACAGAGGAAAGATCATAAAACAAAATAATTGCATAAAGTTTCTACTTTCAAAGGTGACCATTATTAATGTACACTTCTTTTTAGAATCTTCTAGTCATATTTATACAACAATAAAAGGGAGGCAGCATATGCGCAGAATGTCAGCTCTCAGGATGCCTCATCAGGAGATGGCCACAATTTTGAAGCAATGTAGCAAGTTCCAGGTCATCCCAAGCTAGGTTCCAAGACCCATTCTCAACAAACAAGCAAACTCCAAAAAACACAGTGGGGTTTCAGCTGTGGCTCAGCCCTTAGGAGCAGGGACTGCCTGTGCAGGAGTTCAGTTCCCAGCACCCCTTCCAGGCAGCCCAGGACTGCCTCTAACTCCAGCTCCAAGAGGTAGCCCCGCCCCCACATGTCCACAGACACAAAAATACAAATGAAATCATCTTTTTTAAAACAAGAAAGGACATCATGATACACTGTGACAGGGGCATGGACTTGTGGCAATCAAGCGCGGCGGGGGTGGGGGGAGTGGAAAGGAGAGACCAGAGTACAAAGCAGTGAATCTGCCTCAGTGTCTCTGCTTGTGAAACTCACTCCTGGGACCTAGTGGTACAAAGGAAGCACCTCCTCACCCCAGGGGTCCTCTGGAAAGACTGGCTCTGCCCTTACTCCATTTCTATGCGGTTCTGTATCTTGCTTCCTCCTGTGTTATTTTCATTTCCATTAAAAAGAGAAAATCAAAATCTTTAGGAACCTTGTTTAATGATCCCATTCTGTTCCTGCAGAGGCATGTTGCCAAACATTTAGCCATCTTTTCAAATTTTATACCACGATTGCATCCTTTTCTTCAAAGAAATAAAGGGGTGGGGCCATCTTCAGATAGTATCTTTTTGTGCACAACACTTAAAAGTCATTACTCAGTTTTCTTGTTCAGACCTGGAATGAAGTTTCTGGGTAAAGGGCATGGATCCTTTTAGCTAAGATGTGTAATTGGCTCTCCTAGAGCGGTGGCAATTGATATCCCCAGCTGCACACTTAGGCAGGTGGTTCTTCTCCACCTAAATGACAAGAGGGCTTACTGAAAAATAACGCCACCTCTATCGGGATTATTTTCCTCTAAAATATGCTTGGCTCTCACTAGCATGATTCTGTCTTCAACAGCGCTACCACCAGCTTGAAATAAAAAGGAAACTGGATGCCTTAGCTCGGAAGGAGCGGATTCAGAGGCTGAAGGTAAACTCTTTTACCTTTTAATAACATTTTGTGATTTCAACAGTCCCCCCACCCCCAGCAGTTATTATACCTACTTTTGGAGAGCCCACATAGCTCAGGTCAAGCAAATGCTTCTATTGAGCCTGGATCTCCGCTGCCATCAATATAGATGCTGATAGAACAGGTTCTGCTCCCGAGAAATGCATTCTGAGCACGAAAAACTTTCCAAGACAAAAGTAAAAATAGCCAAATTTGAAAGGTGGCTTCTTTTTTTTTTTTTTTGTGGCAGAAGCCAAAGGATATTCATGTATCTCGAGAAAATAAAAAGAGACGGTAACGTTTGTGTATGAAGGAAAATAAAACATTAGAAGAATTATACAATCACACATTTTCATTCGAATGTCACCCTTTAAAATTCTGGTGGGAACAAGCTTCCTCGGTAGAAGAAAGCGTGATCAGATCTAAGACATTTCGTGCTAGGTATTTTTAAATCTCTTGGTTGTTCTCTATTTTTGTTCTCTGCAGTGAACTTACAAAATGCATCCATTTGAATCAGGAGATGAGAGATTCAATTAGGCATGTTTCAGTTGAGGGTGGCAGATTTATTTGATTTCTTGAGCTATTTGAAATCATGAGCTGTTTGTTCTTAATTGTCTGTGGTATTACAAATGTGGAAACATATTTCACAAACCGATAAGTATTTGTAAAGAATTCACAGGGAACCTGTCTCCTTAAGATTAAAATTTTCCTATCTGGGTTGATGGACTCAAATTTGTTTTATTGGGGTCAAAGGCTAATCTTGTTACCAAAGTGTTGGCCAACAAGACATAGATAGCTTCTCAGGGCTCAGGAGAACGGGGGTTCAGCTTGGCTGGCTGTGCCTCGTGTCATGGGCTGTTACAGGTTGTGGATGCAATACCAGAAGTACTGAGTTCCAGTGGGGCTCATGTTTCCCTTCCTTTGCCTTATGCAATGCAGACGAGGGACACTAAGTGGGTCACCGGGAGTGCTGCGGCCACTTGGGTTCCTCCCATTGGACACTTCTATTGGGACTGTCAAGGCTCACTGCGTATTTTGTAATTGCCAAAGGCAGGTTTTACGTTCCTTCTATTTAATAGGCAAATTTGCTTCAGGGCATTATTGAGTTATTGTTTTTGTATAAAATGAATCTTTTCTGGGAGCCTCTTCTGGTAAGAGTAGTGAGGTACAACAGGAACTCTGTAGTGGCCCAACAAACATTGTCTTGAAGGAAAAGGTACTCAGAGTGACTACTTCATGTGCAGCTGGAGGAGACTCTGTTTTCTGCCACTCACCACCACACCAGTCCCTGACAGGGTTGTAAGAGCCTTGCCAACCTCCATGTCCAAACACAGAGTGGCCTTCTTCATGGGGAGGGCTTTGATCTCATAGCATGTTGTGTATCAGGTGCTAAGCTAACCCCATAATCTATACATCAACTTCACAAATTTCTTTCTCATTCTAGGGAGAACGTACAAGACGTTTTATTGAAGATAACATGCCCATTCTGACACCCCACCCCCCAGCTGGCCCAAAGAGTAACCATGGCTGTAGCGTTCTGGCTGAGGAAGGACGTTCTAGTCCATTAACACTGGTGAGCCCTATTAAGCACTCTGTCCCAGATAATTAATTTATGATTTCTCATTAATCTCAGAAAGAAGGCTCTATGGGAAGCATGTCTGCACAGCCCTGTAGCCTTGAAAACACAGTCAAAGGAACAGTTGGAAGCCACAGCCTCCTACCTGCTCAAGTCTCCATTAACAGAGCCCCCTCCAGCCACAATCCCTGAACGTGCAGCTTTTTAAGTGCAGATCACGTATGCTCACAAACATACCCAGCTCCCTCCCCATCCCCCACCCCTGCTCTTCTTTACCCAAGGAAAAGTGCAAAACCTACCTGGTGTCTAAGATCACACACTATGAGCTGAAGTTATCTATCTCAGTATTTACACTTCGGCTCGGCAACGTGGCCCTGTCGAGACTCTGGCTGTGTTTTCTGACGTCTGGGTATGGTTCTTGCTCTTTTGTGGTCTGCCCGAATTCAGCAGTGCCAGGCTGTATGGTGGTGACATTATACTATTTCAGGTTATCAAAAATACATGCTTCTACTCTGAGATATTAAATGTGGTGAAATTCCATCTGAAGAAATCATACACTGATATTTCATCCCAGAATACATTGTCTGTTGCCCATGGTGAGATTTGATGGAAGAAGGGCACAGTTCTTCAAAACAATACAGATTCAGGAAAGATTTAAAAAAAAAAAACTGCTGGATGTTGGTGGTTGAAGCAGGACTAAGCTCCCCATGAAGTCTTTACTCTTGGTTTTCATGGCTGAATGCTTTTCCTTGTAAACTCTGATCATTTTTGTTTGTGTTGCACAATATTTGTGGAGAAACTATAAAGCCTTCAGAATGTTGAGGAAGTCTGTCATGTATGACCTTAAGCTTCAACATTCTGCAAAAGGCAGACGTGTCTTAACCTGTCCTGGTCGAACAGCCCAAGTCTTGCTAAGCCCCGCTTTTCTCTGGACTGTTTCTCCTCTTCCAGGTCTGATGTGAATGTAGGTGTGTATGCACAAATATGTCTTTGTTGGACAGTGATTCACTAGCCTCTCCCAAGCTTTCCCCAGAAGGAAATAGTGCTGCTTTTTGTCCTCCACCTGGTTCAGAGAGGGAAAACCCCTTTAAGGGCTTCTTTCTGTCCTCCACCTGGTTCAGAGAGGGAAAATCCCTTTAAGGGATGCTCTCTGTCCTCCACCTAGTTCAGAGAGGGAAAACCCCTTTAAGGGCTTCTTTCTGTCCTCTACCTAGTTCAGAGAGGGAAAACCCCTTTAAGGGATGCTCTCTGTCCTCCACCTGGTTCGGAGAGGAAAACCCCTTTAAGGTTTCTTTCAGTTTTGCTGGCGAACCCCCCTCAGGAGATAGTTTGTGTGTTGCTGTGCTGGAGTGAGGGAGTCCTCTGGAAATCAGAGGCTACAGTGCCATCGCCGGACACTTCAACACAGGGCTGCAGCTGGATGACAGGCTGTGTGTCCCGTGCACTTTACTGCCTAGCTACCATGATTCTTAGGTAGATTTCCTGCTTCAAGGAGACTCAAGTCCCCCTTTGGTTTGGACCTCCTGTCCTGGACATAGCCCTTCTCAGTTTAAACCCTGGCTACTGACAGTCCTACAGAGACAGGAAACCTTACAGGATGTCACCATTTTTCTTGAGCTTCCCTGAGGAAACCTCTGGCACCACATGCTCCTGCACTTGGTTGCTAATTGCCCTAAACGTTCAGACACCGTGCAAGCATTTAGCTGTGCCATCTCCATTAAAACCAGGAGAGCCATCTCAACTGAGTCTGCGCATTTTTGGGAAATTCACTCCCTGGAATCCCCTAGAGAATGAGCAGAATTTGGCTAAGCTGAGTAATGTCCAGGTAGCCAATTTCAACTCACGTCTTGGTACAGCTTTGAGAACATTAAGACAGTGCCATATTTATTACAGGAAGATGTATTCGCATATTGTAAAAATGCAGCAAACTTAAGGTAGCCTCTGATATGAGCTATGAGAGTTCAGGGCTCACAGCTGGTAGTTAATGGGAGATTTGTTTTCAGAGATAAATGTGATCAGTTGAGCGTTTGACTGCCACATCCATCTGACAGGATGATCTTTGTGTGCAATTGCACAGCCGTGACATTAAGAGCACAGCCCCCAATAGATATTCTGATTTGTACTAACCTGCTTTCCCCGACTTCTACACAAGATTTTTTGACAGGAGACCCTCAACGGCATATATGGGTCCAGTAGAGTCTACAAGAGTTCCTTTGGGTGATCTGAGTCTCTTATTAAGAAGAGTCTGGGTTCGTTTCTGCACGCGGTTTTTAAGACCTCTCTTAGGTTTAGCTCTTGCTTTCTCTGAGATCTCTGTTACATCAGTGGATCCATGTGTGTCTGTTGTGGTTCAGGTTTGCAGAGATTCTGTTCATTAATTTCCTCGTCGCCGAGACCAAAGGCCTTTGAGAATTTGACTGAGGCAGGAAAAGCTTAGGCGGCTTACAGTTTGAGGATGTAGAGTTCATCACGATGGAGCAGGTATTGAAGCTGGTGGCACCACGGTGGAGGGAGCATGTGGCTGGGGCTTTTTCTCCTTCTCACAGCCTTCAGACCAGGAAGCAGAGAGAAAACTAGAAGCAGGACACTCAAAGAACACGAAGAGTTGCCATTCAGAGAGAGGCTTCTTCCCTTCAGCCTTTGCCTACTACCATGGGATTCATCAACTCCTGAAAGAGCAGCTCCAGTTTTGGACCAAGTATTGAAACAGCCAGTGGGAGGCATTTCACATTCAAGTTATAAGTGATTCTAAGCAGTAATGGCTTAACCATGGGGATCATCCCCACCCCAGGCCAGGCCCATGAGTCTCAGGTGACTCTATGAAGTCATCAAACACCTAGACTCCTTCTGTGTTGCTCACCCACCAGCTTGGGGTACCTGTTTCATCCACAGCTGCTAGGGCTGTGTATCACCATGTGGATGCTGCAGCCTGAGGGAAGGGGTCTGCTGGAAAGTAAGGACACACTCCCCTTCTCTTTGAGTGTGAACAGGGTGTGTCACGAGAGTCTCTTTTGTTCACATTTTACTGGACTGAAGGGAGAGGCCCATCTTTGCACAGAGGCCTAGGGAAGTCTGGGGAAACATGCTCTCTTTGGCCAGACATGTTTCCAAATGAAAGTTCTGTTATCGGAGAAGAGAGGAGAGCAAATATTAGGCAGTGTTATCTCTGTTGCTCCTCTCTGGTCCTGGCTCAGAGACCACTCTTCCTTGGTTTTTAGATCCCCATCTCCCTCTTGCCTCATCAGTTGGATAAAAGTTTTAACTGCTTCTGTGAGAACTTAGTTTTCCTTAGAGTTCTTGGTTAACTGTAAATATTCTAAGAATACATCATTTCACATTTCTGTTCACTGGCATCCATCAGTCTGATTGACTAATAGAATCTTTGGATGTTAAATATTACTTTTTAGCTGCTCCTTGCTTGGTCTAAGGTGAGTATTCAGTATGTGCCTACTGTTGAAAAATCAGAAGATGAACAGTGTGTGCACACATGCTTCTCGAGATGCTGTGAGAACAAGGGCTTAGTAATAGTCACTGGCTGCCCGTTCTTTACGTGTGTATTTATACATACATTTGCGGAATGGAATATTTGTGGCTCATCATCCTTTTGAGTCAATGTACAAAATGCTGTTCATGAATCATTTATACACTGTCCTTCTCATACTCCTTTGCCCAAACACACATGTCCTATTCTTAGCATGTTTTCTACTGTCTTCGTATAATAGGACAACTGGACCAAAAGTTTCACTCCTCCCTGCTTTTGATGCATTGCTAATCTTTATACTAAACTTATGATATTCTGTTGACACCCCTCAAAGGCACTTACAATGTTCCACGTTGGCACTTTTTGTATTCACTGCAGTATATTCTTGATTGGAAAGTGTCTCTGTTGGGGGCTCAGCAGGGAACAGATGGCTCATACAAATAGAGTAATTAGGAAGTTGTTTAATAAAGAAACTATTTAGGAAGCTACAGCAGGGCAAAGAGAAACCAGCTAGGGATGGTAAGCCCAATGGGGTCAGCACCATGGGAAACCACAGTCCCTAGATTGAAAGAGGGAAAGGGAGACAATAGATTCCAGAAGCAGCAGGTAGGGCCCCCAGCTGGGAAGGGCTCCTCTGCAGAAGTGTTAACACTTAGGTGGCAGGAACCATTTCTACCCTGCAGGGATGATGGGAGTAAAGGCCTCCATTTCATCTTCCCTTCTTCTCTGATGTGACTCCTATCTTTGGTAGAACCCAACTACAGTGCTGAGGTTGATTGGTAAATTCTTTGAAGGAATCCCTTCCAGGGCCCAGAGCGCTGCAGCCAGAGACATAGACGAACGATTGGAAGCGGCTCAGCGTGGAGACGTTCATTTTTACATAGTGCGTCCCAGTGTTGCCAACTATAATCTTTCATTTTGTTTTCTTACATTTGTAGGAAGCAGCTGACGACACGTAATTGGTGAGGCATTATAGCCGAGCACCTGCCTGTCCTGTTGTCTGCTTTTACTTTGGGTGCCAACCCTGCGGCATAATGAATTCAGAGTGGATTGTATATTGAAAACATTGAAACCGAAATGAGTCTGTTCCAATCATATCATTTCAGATCTCTCCAGTACGAACATTATTCAGCTTAACATTTAATTCAGCAAAGCCATTCTTTGCAGAAACGCACTACTGCCAGGAGTTTACAGTACCAGCAAAGAATACGGGACTATAATAGAGGCCACCTCCTTTGTCTACGAGGCTCCATCCCTGTGATATTTGGTTATGCAGAGGACTCCAACACCATATGTTTAACAAATACTTTGGGTCAGAAGGCTGTGTATAATGGAAGAATATAATTAAAGTTTAATCTGTTCAGTTAAAAAGACACCATTAATTACTCTGGGCAATTTGTTGGATTATTAATTGGTTCTGGAAACATGTCAAGATACTAATTTAAATGGAACTTTCTCCCCTAATTGTCTAGACATCCCCTCGGCCATATACTGCCCCAGGAAATATGCAGCCTCCGATTCGATTGCAGCCTCTTCTCAGTAATCACACAACGAGAAATGTTTCAAAGATAACTCCAGAGTCCAAACCCAAAATCTCATTGCTGGAAAGCGAAACTCCGTTTCCTATTGGGGTAAATGCTATTTTCTTTAAGAAATATATTCTTTTAAATTGTTGATTTAAATCTTGTACTGTCGAAGGTTCTGAGATGCCATATTTAGTTTGTCCACACAGTGAAACTTTTCTGTGCATTCATTAAGCACTTACTGTGTACTTCTGATGAACTCGTTCTGTGACGGGAAGACCTGAGGATTATGGAGTTGAGCAGAATCCACGAAGGGTGGGTTCATAATGATGTGCAGTGCCAGCTCACTATGAAGAAGATGGAGGAAAAACAAAGAAGTCTTCTCACAGGCACAAATGGCTGTCCTCAGACGTGACCCTGTGTGGACTCCTTGCAGATTTAGATACAGGAAAACCAGACAACGGGATTCTGCATGGCTGGTCTGTGTTTGCACTGGGAGTAGCTTTCCTATCAGTGTGTGAAGTTAGTTGGAGGTTGAACTCATCATACCCACGGGTTTGACACTGCATCCCTTTCAAGGTTATATCTTGGGCAATCTTTGGTCTTTAAAGTGTAAAAAGGCTAAGTATGGGTACTGTGAAACAGAATCTACCTAAACAGGGGATAACAAGCCAGACCATTCCCACACTGGGGAGAGACAGATTGTGTCTCTAGCTTGCAGAACCATTTGCTAGTTTAAGAGTTTGTGTCACAAATGTAATTGCCGTTAATTGGAAGGTTCATTCCTTACTAGGCAATACCACCCACGAACCTAAGACATTGCCCCCTTTCACTGACAAATGCCCTTCCTGCAGATAAATGAGCGCTTGCATTTCATACTAAATATACATGCGCAACCACGGCATCCCAATCCATGGGATGTGGTTTTAGCTTATGAGAGTGCTTTACACTCCGTGTTCGGTTAATTTACTGGTAGCTTCTCAAAGGCTAGAGAAGTTTAATGGGAAGCAGTGGCTTCTAGTTTGCACAGCTGGGAGTGAGGCAGGCTCCTGGGTCAGTGGCACATTCTCGCCATTTTAGCCACTGTTCAAGAGTAGCCAGATCCCACGAGACTATTTCAGGCTACTTAAAATAACACGCAAGCAGGATCCTGTCATGTTATAGTAATCCGAAATAGGAGATTTGTCCTGATCATGGGCCATTAATCCACCAAGCATTATCAAGTGACCAAAGCTTGTAGGAGCAATGAATGTTGTTTCCCTGGTTGGCAGAGGCACTGGGGAGACAGGATCACAATGAGGAGGAGGTTGCTTGGTGACCAAAGAATCAGAACAGGGCTGTGTCTCAAGTGTTCTTGGCTCAGGTTAAGGCTTCCTGAGGCACCCATCTCGTCTAGGAATGGGCTTGCCAAAAGTACCAGAAATCTCACAGGTCTTTGCCTAAAACTCTCTGTGTCCTCTGGGGTTAGCTTTGCCATTAGGGCTGGACATACTCAAAGCCTAATGGGTAAGACTTTCTCCCCACTAGGTGGTGCCCCAATGGGTGCTTCCTGTGTTTTCTTCCCATGCGTCTGTAGTTCTCAGTTCTACTTTGGTAAATTTTCTTCCTAGACGTAAGAACACTGATAGTGAGAATACACATGGTTTTTACACCCATCAGATGTTTGTTTTGCTCTCAGTGATTTCCCCCCAAATTAACTGTGAGACACTGGCTACCAGTAATAGCTATATATACACCTGGTGACATATAATAATATAATAGATAACTCAAGTATTGAGAGTATGGGTCATTGAAAAAGAGGCACTGGGTAGCTCTCTGCACCAACAAGTTGAAAATTAATTTCATGTTAGTTCCAAATACCTAAATGTTTAAATATTTTAGGCACTTAAGACAGGCTAGGTACTGAAGAAGAACAAGTGTTGTTATTATTATTATTGATTATCAAGGCAGACATCAGTAACTTACTGGAGCTTACTATGTAATAGACATAAACAAAATAGGCCATGAAAAGAGACATGCTTTTATTAATAGTATTGATGGTGAAAGTGCTACCAGACAAACTCTTCATGGCCTGCATTGTTGCTAAGTATATATTGGGCCCTGGGTCGACCCTTCCTGCCTTACTGAAAGAGGGTTTACAGGCATAAGGACTGGAAGTACCACAGATGAAATGAGGTTGAACTTGTCTTAGCAGTCCGAGTGAGCATCTGCAGGAAAAAGTGGTGCACACGGCCAACAGCAGGTTGGCTTTGATGCCACTAATCACTTGGCAAGCATTGCTAACATTCAGAGGGCGCCTCTCTTGCCAGGGGAAATCCTAAGTGTTTTCAAAGTCCTGCATGGAGGATCTGCCACCATTTTAACGTTGGGAATCTGCCCAAGGAACCGTGCACATGTATGCAAAGGCACATGTATGCAAAGGCACATGTATGCAAAAGCGGAACCACTTATTTACAGTAGTGAACAACTGGGAAAAGTTTCCCTTTATGAAGTATAGTTTAAGATGCTTAAGTACATAAAAATACACTATAATTATATGTAATGGTTTATAAAATCACCCAATATACGTTCAGTTAAAAATAGAAAAAGAACAAGATATTAATTTTGAAAAAAATATGATTAAAATCATTTCCAAAACACGACAAGCACCTGATACCAGTTATGCTATTTGTTTTTTTTTAAAGGAGTTAAAATTATCCAAATTCTCAGTATTCTAGGTAGTTAATTCTAGGTCATTAATTTCAATATTTGTATCATGCACATTTACTTTTATTTGATATTCTAGGCTTAATGCAATGTATTGAAGAATGAACCAGGAAACTAAGGAAGAACACTCAGTGTAATTTAGCATTCCTACATTAGAATCCGCTTAAACAACAGTGTAGCTTTTATTCAAGGTTTGAGCTAGACATGCACTCACTCACTCTGCTTTTATTTACTTAATAACCAGTGCTCTTTGGAGAGCTTTCTTTCCCTAAAATAATTTTTCATTATTAAGCATTTCAAAATTTAGACGAAATGGGCTGAAAACTAATTAGAAACACAAAATATAAATGTGCTGCAAATTTATAGTGAGTCAGTAGAAATGCTTCTTAAAAATTGGTGCAAAATGTATAAAAATATCTAAAAATTCCTTAAAGTTTGAAAATTTACATCAGATACATGAAATAACCAATTTGTAAAAATGTTTGGACTCATGTCTGTCTGGTAAGGATTATTGGTTTTATTTTTAAAGTTTTTAAATGATCGAGGAGAGGCATTTTGATTAAACTCTCAAGCAACATAAAGATATATCCCACAAGGATAAATTAATGTTTAAAATTTTCCATTTGTTCTTACTTTTTAAATAAAAATCCTTGTAAAAATCACTTAAAAGAAATGTTGCATTATACTGTGTATAAATAGTCTCATATTTCCATACTATTTAGTGAGAAATACATAATCTAATTTAAAAAAACAAGCAAAGTTTAACAATTTGCCTATATATGGGTTTTTAGGATGACTGAGCTGAATTTATATGTATGTGTGGACACACATACTTAACACACACACATATGTGTGTGCCCAAATGCACATTTACAGCACAGTATTCATACTTACACTTCATATTAATAGTAAATCTGTTATGGGGTTTATTCCCGTTTGCAGGATTTCTGGGTCAAAGAGTATTCTCTTTGAAATTTGGTGAATATTTTTGTTTGTCTTTCATTATATTTGAAGTAATTCCAATAGTCTATAAGCTGGTGTTTGATCTCAGCCTTGCTCCTCCTGCCTGTTCAAACCCGGGGATGTGTGAGGCCGGGGTGTGAAGGCAATACTTCCTATCTCTCAGTGGACGGGCCAGCTGTACCCCAGAGTCTAGCCCTGCATCCCTCCTCGTGTGCAGGTAACTAAATGAACTCTTTCTTGAGTGGCGTTCCTACGTCTTCTATTAAACCACATTTCCACAAGGTTAAAAACATGTGCTTGTGGAATTTGCAATGGACGCAGAGTGTGACTTCAATAGATGCAAATGTGTATTGGGGTTGGTCTACTGTTTTCAGCGGGGTTTGTGGGCACTGTCAATCACCCAGGCTGCTTGTGTGTCCCTGGGTCTTACATCGTGGTCTGTGATTGCAGGGCAAGAAGGCAATGATGAAATTCAGGAACTTCATGGACAATTCCCAGAGGCTGGATGCCTGCCAACTTCCAGACATTAACATTTACCAGATTCCTGTCCCCCCGATGCCCCAGCCCCAAGCAGGAAAGATCTTCAGGGAGAACAGGTTCGAGCCTTGGAGGAGGAAGAGGCTGCGTCCCATCACCGCTCCCAATGGCTTAGAGCCCCTCTGCACCAGGGTGATTATGGCTCAAATGTTCTTTTATTACTGTAACACCGATGACGTCACACCAGCTGAGGTCTGTAGTAGAAGAATTTTCTAGAATCAAGGACAAAACTGCATTGTATAAAGAAATAAAATATTTTTGTAAGTGCATGAGTGAGTTAAAGGAAACATCTGGGTAGTTCAGCCGAAAAGCTAGTTTAGCATCATCACTGATAAGAGAACCCTCATGAAGTCTTGTGGCCAGATTCAGTTTGACTGACTCCAACTTTTCCCCCTTAATTAATTAACATTTAATTCATGGATTTAGGCATAGCTGGAGAGTATAATAAATATTATCAAATTTTACTTTTAATGGTTTATTGCGAATTAGTGAATATTGCCTACAGTTTTTTTTCAGGGTTCTTTGAAAATGCTGGGCTTTGTCCCACATTTCCCCAAAGCCTTGGTACAGCACATGTTTGTAAGCTTAGATGAACTTAGACAGCTCCAGTCTTGTACGAGAGCAAAGTACCTCTTCTTTTTCATTTGGTAAATACACAAATTAATTACGTGAGATCTCCGTGACTCTTAGCAGACAGTGGGATTGACATTTTCCAGAGTGAACGTCAAGTGGTGAACTACTCCTTTGCATCCACCCCTGCATCCGCGCTCCCAAGCCAGTTTTGTCTCCAGCATCCCTTTCCACTCTCAGCTGCTGCCCTCCCCTCTAACCTTCTCAAAAGGCCAGGACTTCTTTTCCTCGCAGTTTCAAATCTCCTCCTTTCAGTTTAGTTTTCACAGTTCTCTCTTTCTTCCTGGTTCTGTCTCTGGCGGAGCCTTCTATGTCATCTGTGAAGACTCCTTCGCCCTGCCTGCCTCATCTCTGACGGATACTGTTCTCTGTAGATTGTGTCTTTGGCCTTCTTGGCACAGCGTCTCTGCTTTTTACACAGCGTGATCAAGTCCTTTCTATGTGGACTGCACCTTAGACCGGTTTTCTCTTTTCTTTTACATTTTAAATAGTTATTCTTTGAAAATTTCACACTTAGCATATTTTATGTTACATACTCCCAACTACCTCTCTCCAACGGACACTCAAGCATACCAACTGACTTCACACCCAACTTTATGTCTATTACTATTATTATTATTATTAATCTCCCTGGGGCCATCAGTGCTGATCATTTATAAATTATTGTGGAGCTACTGGGTGTGTGTGTAACCTGTCAGTGGCCGCATACCCAAATAAAAGTGACTACACCTCCCTTAGCACCACCACCAACTGTAAAAACCTCCTAAGTTGGGGTTTGTGGGAACTCAGACACTCATCTTAATCCATGATGGAGCAGTGATTGGCTTGTGCAGGCAACCACAACTGTGTGAGCTGGTGTGTGCTCCAACACTATCCCGACTGTGTGAGCAGATGTGAGTACCAACCCTACCGAATTTTAGCTAATTAACTAATTAATTATTCAAGACAGGATTTCTCTGTGTAATAGCACTAGCTGTTCTGGAACTTGGATTGTAGACCAGGCTGGCCTTGAACTCACAAAGACCCACTTACCTCTGTCTTTGAGTGCTGGGATTAAAGGTATGTATTCCCACTCCAAGTGACTTTTTAAAGATTGTCTCAAGTGTGTCTGATAGATTTTTGGTATTTTGTATTTTCCTTGACTCTAAAAATTTCATTTCATTTTTAATTTCAATTTCTTCAGTAACCTGATAATCACCCAGTAGTGTGTGTTTATTCTCCGTGTGTTTGAGTGCTCTACGTACCATCTGTAGTTTACAGTGCTGATGGTATCTAGCTTTGTTCCACTGTGGTCTAATAGAATATGCTATTCTAATTTTCCTATGTTTGTTGAGACTTTCTGTGAATCCAAGTATGTGGCCAACTGTGGAGAACGTTCTCATGGACTGCTGAGAAGAATGTCTATTATTCAGTGCTTGAGCAGAATGTTCTATAGATTCCTTGTAGGTCCTTTGGATTTGTGATGTCATTTAACTCCAATGTTTCTCTCTTTATATGACCTGTCTACTGTTGAGAGTGAGGTATTGGAAAATATTATCACTGTGTTGGGGTTGTTAATTGGTTTTTACATCATTCAGTATTATTTAATGAAGTTGACATGCCTGTGTTTTGTACATACATAGTTACAATTATATCTTCTCTTGCAGCACATTCTTTATTGGGTATGAAGTGCCCTCTTACTGGGGAATTGAGGCCAATTAATTTACAGAGTTGCTATTGATATATATATATATATTAATATCTGTTATTTTGTTGATTGTAGGAAACCTCACTTGATTAGCAATTGTTCTGTATTATTTATTAATTCTCTGAGACCCTTTGTGTGGTTTTCCTCATTTCTAAACCAAACTATTTTGTATAGAGCTAGCTTAGTGATCAGAAATCCTTTAGTCTGTTTTTATCATAGAAAATTTTTATTTATCCTTCAGATGTATTAGATAGCTGTGGGGGGTATAATAGTCTAAGTTGACAATTGTGGTATTTCAGATTGTGGAATATTCTTTTCGGGCCCTTATGGCTTTAAAAGTTTGTGCTGAATAATGAACAATGATTCTGGTTGACGTTGACCTGGTCTTTCTGGCAGTTTCCAATAGTCAGTCTTTATTCTGTGCTCTTAATATTTTAACTATACTATTTCACAGCGAGTTTCTTCTCAGAGTTTATTTAGAATTCTTAATGTCTATATACAGGTGCTCATCTCTTTTTCTTAAGTTTGAAAGTACTTTCTATACAATTGGTATTATAATTTTTTTTTACCGTTTCCACAATCTGAAAATATGACAATTAGTTTTTTCTTCTTTTGCTGTATGTTTAGTCCTATCTTAGCCTTTGGTACATCCCCATCACACATGCGAATTATTATCCAGCAAGACTCAGAATGCTCACAATTTTATGGGCTACACTCCCTGGCAATCTCACTTCTGCAGTGTGCACTGATAACCTTTGATTCACAACTGCAGAGGTAGTTCCAGTTCATGGGACTGCTGGGTGTACATACAAACATGAGACCTCAGGTGCAATCTCACACTAGGTTTTATAGCATCTTAGGAATCTGGATTCGTGTTTATATTAAGTGTTAGAATTAGAGTTCTGAGACAAAACTGCACATCACTGAGGATGTAGAGAAATAGCTGACTCTACTTTAGAACTGTTTTTACTCAGCCATTTTATTTTAGTTAGAAGAGAGTAGAGGATTTGGAAATGTTTATCTCTGTATTAGCATTGGATTTCAACTCAGATGACAGCTGAAATTTTAGCTAACTAAGCTTTCCAAATTAGGAAATGGTGTACATGTTATATGATAAAAATGATTATGATATTTGGTCACCTATAAAAGAGTTAACACTTTGTATTATCTATCTATCTATCTATCTATCTATCTATCTATCTATCTATCTATCTATCTATCTATCTATCTATCTTCTATCTATCATCTATCTATTATCTATCTATTTATCATCTATCTATCTATCTATCTATCTATCTATCTATCTATCTATCTATCTATCTATCTATCTATCATCTACTGGCCTTCCAGATCCCTACATTGTTCTTTGTATATATTTTAAAACTTATTATTTATTGTAACTGTCGATCCAGTTTCTCTCCTTTGCCCTCTAGGCCTGATACTCTGTTTCTACCCAGTCTATCCTATTGGAGATTTCCCCCCTGAGGTTTTGATATGTTTTGTGTGAATTATTAAGCTTTTCATTTCCGACATTGTTTTAGGTTGTCTTTCTTCCCTGATTGCATCTCATGGAATTCTGCTTTCATTTCCTGCACGGCACCCTCATTTTATTCACCTGCTTTTGTTCTGCTGAAGTACGGTGATTTTTTTGAGTTGTGCTAATCACACTTACACACATGTATGCACACACATACAATCATACCCACACACGATTGCATACACACACATGCATGCTGGCATTGAAACACACATGCATGTGTACCTACGTTTTTCATTTTTGGAATTCTCTCTGCTAAGGGTAGAACTATCCAGTCTACCCTCCAGGATTCTAATCATCAGCTTCTCTCCCCTGCTTTCTGATTCCTTGTACTGATGCCTTTCTGGCTGGGGGAAATCTTTTTTAGTTTTTACACATTCTATTGAGATTTCTGTTCTGATGCCGTATTTAAATTCTGTTCTTGTGTGTTCATTGGCCATCCTTTTATAAAATACTTTATTTGGGGGTTGGAGAAGTGCCTCAGTGGTTAAGAGAACTTACTGCTCCTGTAGAGAACNTATATGCTTTTAGCATTTTGGAATTTTAGGTATAAATCCTGGGCTTTTAATGTAGTCTGTTTTCAATATAGTGGGCAATGGTTTGTGTTTAATTCGATTTGGATATCTGCCCCATTAATGAGTTTAGCCCACCATGTTCGGTATTGAGACATTTCTTTGGTAACATCCCTTGTGCTGTACCTACCCCTTTCCTGAAAGCTTTGCTTATTCCCTTCCAGACACTCCTCACCAGGTTCATTTCTCTTACCTTGTTCTCTCTCACACCTGTGACTTGATTTTGTTTTCACCCTCAATCTGAGCATCACTGTGACTTCAGCCTCGATATTTCCTTCTCTGTTCTGACAGCGCCGTCTTCTCCCAGGGTTTAACAGTTTGCACATACCTTCTCCAGGCCAGTGCAGCCTGAGATACAAAGGCATCATAGTAAGAAGTCATGTTTCTTCATCCACTAATGGAGAAGATCTCAGTTCTGCCCATCTTCCAGTTCTCTCTCCCGCCCCTTCCAAGCCAGCCTGAGTTACTACTTCAGCTGACCCTCAATTTCATAATACTATCATTTCCTCTGGAAATAAACTTACCTTCAAACTACCTACAGTTTTTCCTTCATTTAATTGTCGGTTCTTCTATGTGTGCTCTGTGAACTTTTAACAAAATATGAAATTTTATGTTTAGTGCTAATGCTAATGGCATTTATTATTTAGTGAGCCCTTAGAATATAATGCTTAACATACCATATATGCAATAAACCTCAAAAAGGACTCACAATTGCTTAACTTTGGAGATGAAGCAAATCAGGTTAAATAAATGATCACTGATCACAGAACTCATTAATATCATCTTTAAACAGCACAGCAAGCTGAACTGTTGTTGCAATCATCAAACCCAAAAGTGATTGCAATTTATTTTCTCTCATTCCTTGAGATTAACTTTAAATGGTCAGCTGTTTTCTTCAACAGAGAAACCAATTAGACTTCTACATGATAATCCCAGGCACTTGACATACATGCTCATCTTTCTTATAGGGACCCCTGAAGGTCCAGGCACCTCTCAGAATGAACCAAGACAAAGGTCTATTGTCTTTGCTCACTTGTAAAGATGAAGTGATCACGTCAAAAATCGTCATTGTGTCTTGATCAATATCAACTCAAAACAGAACATTAATATTTATTCCGTCCATTTGTTTGAATTTTTATTTGAAAAGTAGCTGAAAGAGTCAAAAGTACTTTCTAACAGAGGAAGAGAGGGAATGAAAGGGAGAGAGAGAGAAGAGGGAGAGAGAGAACTTAAAGCAGAAAATAACAGAATTTGATCATATCCCTATCATTTACAAAATTCACTAATCTGTATGCTAAAGTCCTTGAGGGGAATTTATTATGTGACATTTTTTATTCTTACACTTGGTATGCAATGACCCTTATGGGGTGCTTGGAATTATATGTCTCTGTTCTTCATATTATAAAGCCGTGTGGGAATAGGAGTCCCATGGAAAGACCTGCAGTCACTAAGTCTGCATTTTGTCTGTCCTAGGACCCAGGGAGGATTTACAAAGCAGCACCGCACAGCAATGCAGTTATCACAATGATCTATTTTGGGAAAAATGTGCACCTATCTTATGAGGACACAGACTTTCGAGATGAAATCAAGATTTACCAACAGCACTGTGGAGGAGAGAACCTTTGTATCTACAAAGGCAAACTGCTGGAGAAAGGTACAAATCAATGTGAATTTTAAAAAGAAGTGGTTGGGTTGATGTTCCAGATAAGCTGCTGTTGACATAATATCGAAATGACTTCAACCACTTTGTGAAATTATGCGTATCCAGGGAATTAGAAACCAACAGCTGCCTAAAAGTCAATCTAGATTCACAGCTCCTTGGTTGAAACTTAGCAGCAATTGCTCCTGCAGATTGTAGAAGAAGGAGTTTGGAGTTGTTTAACCTGGTAACAGATCAATCTTGGGACAGAGATATATATGATCACTAAGATGTTTCAGGAATATGTTGTCTACAAAATTACGAGTTAACTATTTGATTTGCTACAGTGAATGATATTCTAGGTTTTCATAAGAAAAAACTACAGGTTGCCAATCTGTTCTTTAGAATACATGGGGGCAGAATTACAAATTAATAAACTCCGTGATGAGTCATACCTAAATAACTTGATGTCAAATTTTTCTAAATGCCCTTTTTAGTATTAAAAAAGAACCCCTTTGATTCTAAGTCCGTACTTGTCAGAATAAGATGCTTTTATTAACACACATTCCCATGCACTGTGGTCTTTCCTTGAAGAGTTAGCTTAGTAGGGCAGCCATGAGAGGCAGAATGCTTACAAAACCGAGCACAGTTCTTGCTCGCATAGGAAATTCTCTTCAGAAAGCATTGCTAGTTTTCACAACCATATAAAAAAATCTTCAAACAGACTGAGGAGCTGGGAAAGGACTTCGGTACACTTATAATTCTCTTTCCTTTTAAATTTCTTTCACCTATCAAAAGGAGTGCTTCGAAGGAAAACAGATGCAAACGTTTGAAGCTATAAATACAGTGACATAGTTCGGAATCACGTTTTAAGCCTCCCAAATAAAACAAGACACTAAAATGTTATTTTCAGCTAAATTAAAATAAAACATGGCTCTCAGTTTGCTGGGAATTGTTACTATTTTTTTTTTTTTTACAAATTTGTCAAAATTGTCTGAATTTGCTCTGGTGTTGTATAGTCCATTTCAGAGTTCATTCCCATCACTGCAGATGAGGAAGAGAAAGGTTCTCTGAGCTGGCGTAGCTCTTGCAGGGTTTCTGACTAGCTCTGGCCGGCTTGGGCGCGTTCTATGAGTCGGTGATACCTCAGTTGTCCTCAATAGCCGAAGTACCAACCTTTTTATAGAGAGAAGGTTGTGAATTCCAGGGAGCTTGGCATAAATTGGGGCGCAGTCATACATCCTTCCTTCTCTTAACTCAAGCAGCTTTGACACAATTATTCTTTAAAAATATGATGTTTGGGTATTGATTTGGGAGAACTGATGAAACTAGCTATTATCTAAAGTTAGAATGTCTATGTTTAGGTACCTATGCTCAGAAGAGTTTCCTAGCTTCTGTATTGCACTTGATTCAACAACATGTATATAAAGGACCGTTTGGTGGAGAAGTTGACTTATATGAAGTCTTGTCTGGGTGATCTAATAAACAGTGTACATGGTAGCCCAAGGGTGTGGGCCCTGACGCTGGCAGGGAGGGTGCTGCTGGGCACGGTTGTTTGTGTACATACTGATCCTGTGTCGTTGTTTTGAGACGCTGGATAATCTTACGTGACAACAGGGAGTGAAGACTTAAGCTATTTATTCTGTCCCTGCTGTACCCTGGTCTCAGCTTCTCTTATCACCAGGACAGGAATTGCTCAAAACCGAAGATTTGGTTTGTTATGGAGCTATCATGAGGTTTAGAAACCAGAGTGATTTTTCTGGGCTATCAAGAATCTGCCATTAGTTGTGTGTGATTCTGTGAAATTGTCAGTAGGTTCTTAAGTTTCTGTGGAGAATCAATAAAAGACTTTATTCATACTTTTGGAATAATTCACTCATTAAAATGTGACATGCTCTGGTTTTCACTAGGCTCTCTTGTCTGCTCTGTGCCTAGGGAAGATGCAGGTAGACGATTCATGGAATAGGTGGAATCCACTCTAACCCAGGCTGCTTCCTGAAAACAGGCTGTGTAGCGAGCTGTGGACGGCTGCTGTGGCAGCCTCATTGCCAACAGCTCCCTGTTAAGGTCTGGCCTGTTGCTTTTAATAATTAAGGCCCTAGTCTTTGGGAACCTCTGACCTTCCCTGTGAGCTGCTTGGAGATAGCTGCTTATTAGTGGAAATATCACAGGCCAAGGGTTTGTTGTCTTCTGCACCAAATGACGTCAGGCTCTAGGGGCCAGAAGCTTCTGGGAGTTTTCCTTCCTCTGAACATTTAGAGTACTGGTGTGAAGACAGTGAGTGTGGGGAGAGAGAAGCTCTGGGCAGAAGGACACAGATGCTTTGTCCTCTCTCCTGAAGTCTGATTTTAACATGAAGTAAATGCGACCCACTTTATCTTGTCGGTCTATCTCCAAAGATATATTTTTTAAGGAAAAGATTTGATTCCCTTATTTTATAATCCAGTGCATTATTCCTCTGAGTCTGAATTATAGATTCTTGAAGGAGATCTCTGTACACCAAGTCTCTCTCTCTCTTTCTCTCTCTCTCTCTCTCTCTCTCTCTCTCTCTCTCTCTCTCTCTCTCTCTCTCTCTCTCCATGTATGTGTCTGACATCTATCTATCTATCCATCCATACTTAGTATCACTTTTTCCTTTAGTACTGCAGTGGTATCTACTATCAGTGAACAGCAAACATCATCTTGGCATTGCAAACACTCTACCACTCTTTCTAATATCAAGTATTATGACGTGGATAGGCTGGGGACCTCCAATCCCTGTCATCCCAGGTTCATCAGTGAAGGACTAGGACAAGGATTCCGACTCCATGTTGTCTGGTCTGCACTCCTCTGTACTCCACAAAGAAACCACCAAGTCAGGGGTGGGAGAAGTCACAATATGTTATGATATAAAATTCTAAACCAACAGAGATAAAGGCAGAGAATACCACATCTTGTTCATTAAGTTTGAAAGCTATGAAATAATCAAATCATTAATATCAGGGTGGATGGAAGCAAGGCAAGGGACTGTCATGTCTGGCAATTGAGTCCCCATGTCCTTCCCCTAAATTTTCCCTTGAATATTTGTTTTGCTTTTATTTTATGTGTCTATATCTGTGTCTCCATGTGTGTATGTATACATCTTTGGAGATTCTGAGCGAGACCAGAGGATGTTGGATACCCTGGAGCTGGAGTTACAGGGCGCTGGGAGCTACCTTATTGATGTGGACTCTGAACTCTGAAACAGCAGCAAGTGCTCTTGACTGCTGAGCTATGTGTCCAGCCCTTCCTGGATTGTCTTAAGTATACCTTCTCCTGGTGGGCACTTGAGTTCTAAGGAATCAGCTGAGAACAAGGGATTGCAGCGTGTGGATACAGGTTCAGCTGCAATGAGGTTAAACTGTCCTCCAGCCTCTGATCGAGGAGTCTTTTTATCATTGATATTTGTAAACCTTTGAGGACATTGTGTCTCAGCTTTTCCAGATGCTCACCTTTCTCTTAGTTTAATTTCTCATCATGAATACTAAGGTGTACAGGATGGGACTTTCTCAGGTCTAACTTTAAGACAGGCGGCATTTGACTTAGGAAGGTTCCACAGCTCACAGTAACATACCCACAGGCACTTTCAATAACTCAGCAGGAAAGAGGTTCAAATGATGACTCACAAGTTCATTATTTGGGGGCTCCTTTGCCACTGTGGTTGGATCTGAAGGAACCAAGAAAAGTAGACTAGCGTTGCCATCCCAGGTTTTACAAATACACTGCACAGCAGGCATCTGAACTGGGGCTGCAAGACGTGAGGCCTCCAGCAGCAGCACCCTGGAACTTGCTAGAAATGCAATTTAAAAATATCAGAATTTGTCATCAACTCTACTGCAACCCTTTGGAGTGAGAAACTCTTTGGAAAGGGTTGGCTGCCCAGCTTTTAATAGTGGTTCCACACATTAAAGTTTAAAAACGTCCAGCGCCGCTGTATTTTAACAGATTGTAATAAGAGCTAAGGTGGGGAATGCATGTGTGGCAGAGGGGTGGAACCCCCTGAGGGCCCCCCTGGAACTGGCATGTGCAGCCGGATTCTGAATCATTCTGTAGAGCACCTCTTAAGTGGGACTTTATTACAGACAGCTGTAGAGATCTAGAGTAATTAAGACAGCATTGCAAACATCAACGCTCAGTTTCTTGGTAGGATGCTTTAAGAAGGTAGGGAGAAAAAGAATCTCAAATGCAAACAGAAGTAAGTGTAGCTCGGGGTTGAAATAACTCTCAACAATATAATTGGTATCACAATTAGAATGTCTAATGCTGGAGTTGAAATATAATACTTGTGTGTGAAGGTCTGTGGTGTGTGTGCTCATGTGTGTATTCGTAAATGTGTGTGGAAGCCAGGAGGTGACCTTGGTGCCACTCCTCTGGCGCCATCCACCTTCCTTTCTGTGAGACATGGCCCCTCACCTCCCTAAAACTCACCAAGTTAAGTTGGTTGGCTCCCCAGTACTGGGATGATAAACAGGCTCTCCCACCCTTGGCTTTTGTTGAAAAAAAGTCTCTGGAGTTCAGTTGGGCTCGTCTGCTGACAAGAAAGCATTTGACCAGCTGAGCTTGGCAACACAGTGACGGTCCAGCACATTGTGAGGTCCTGATGTCACTTCCAGTCTAAAAAAAAGTTCTCAGATAAAAAGCATGTTCTGTAGCATAATATATGTTTTTGAAAAGAAAAAAATGTGATTTATAAGACATTGATATGAAGCCAGTCGCTCTCAGGAACGTGTGTTTTTGGTTTCCAGACACCTTCCAGTTTATCTCCAAGCGACACCACGGCTTCCCCTTCAGCCTCACCTTCTTTTTGAATGGGATCCAGGTGAACAGGCTGAGCTCCTGTTGTGAGTACAAGCACCGCAGGAGCTCGAGGCTCGGAGGCAAGAGAGGCTACTTCGGGTTTGTGAGAGTGGAGAAGGCATCTCCCTGCTACAGGTATGGAAGCACACGTCCTTGGCAAGAGTGACTGCTTTGCCATATTGCCTTTTCTGACGCTTTTCCCTACACAGTTCTTAAAGAAAGTGAATCACCATATACAATCTTAAAAATGCAAGTTTAAGATTGTCAACTGTAGCCATAAATTCTTGATGTTGACATTATAAGGTGTAATTTCTAAATGTATTATATAGAGGATATAAAGAATGGTCGCGTTTTATATTCTGTCTCTCTTCTCATCTCTCTTTGCCTCACACTGCCTTAAATTCCACCTGTGTAGGGAGAGGGGCCTTTTTCTTTATTTCTTTCTTGTTATTCTTGGTAATGGCCCAGGGTAAGGTCCCCCATACCCATGTGGTGTGCTATCATCTGCCTGTGTGTGTAACCTCCAGGCTATGCTTACTGGAAACATGTCCACACTTCTAGGTCACCTACTTTTATCTCTTTGTCCTTGATATGGTATTAGGTGTAATGACTGCTCTTTTTTGTTTTTACCAACTTTCATGCTGGACATCCTGTCTGGGTCTGGACTTATACTTGGAGGCGTTCTTTCAGTTTGTTTTCTCTTCAAAATATTCCTGAAGAATTGACTAAATATCAAGTTAGGACACAATATATTCATGAAACCATGACACTTCTTCCTTTTCCTGGAGGCAAAACAACATACTAATAATCTGATCAATACAGGCCTAATAAAAATAAGCATGAAGAAGAAAATGAGGCAGGGGATTTTTGGGGTGAGCAGGACCAGGTTGGGGGAGGGTGCTGTGCAATGTAACACAATCAAGAATCAGCCCAATAACTTCCTTTGGCATAAAGCAGAACGATCTCTTCCTCCAAATAGCTTCTCAGCTGGAAGCCCTGTGGGGAGGGCAGAGGAAGCAGTGTTCTTGGTGTGTTCAACTTGTTGATCAGAACAAAGCAGAGAACGGAATAGTGAGGGAAGAGGCCAGAGGGGCAGTGTGGATGAGTCCTGAGAAGTACTGAAGTCCTTCCGAGGTCTTTGAGTTTACTCTGAAGTTAGAGAGTTTCTAAAGGAGGTGTTGAACAAAGTTCTATGGTTGAGAAAAGCAGTGGCTCATGGAACCAAATGTGTGGGTAGGTTACATATCAGTGTGGTGAAGACTGGTATTCCGACTTTTCACGCTGCTGTGAACAAGTATCTGACAAGAGCTGGGGATGTGGGGGGAGGAAGAAGGGTTTCAGTTTGGCCCATGGTATGAGGCAAAGGCCAGTATGGTCAAGGAAATACAACAGCAGGAGTGTGCAGGGGAACCCACAGTTAGGAAGCAGAGAGATGAATGATGACGCTAAGTCAGACCCCAGGCTGTGGGATGGTACTGCCACGTTTCAAGATTTTCCCCCTCCGCTAATTCTCTCTGGAAAAGTCCTCACACACACACAAAGGTGAGTCTCACTGATACCATAGATGCTTCTTTATCCTCTCGGATTTGACAATCTGAGTTCCCCATCCCAACAGGAGCCTAACTGTTGTAATAGGAGTGGCGGGGCTACATCCCCAGCACCCCGGCTGCTTGGCTAGCTTATGTCCCGAAATAACAACACATAAACTGTATTCATTTAAGCACTGCTTGGCCCATTATATCTAGCCCCTTCTCGGCTAACTCTCACACCTGGACTAGCCCATTTCTAATAATGTGTATAAGCACTCCAAGGTGCACTTACCGGGAAGACTCTAGCCTACGTCCATCCTGGGTGGGAGCTTCATCGAGTGTGTCTCTGAGAGGAGCTATGGAGTCTGTCTGAGGAGTCTTACCTCACTTCCTCTTCCTCCCAGCATTCTGTTCTGTTTACTCTTCCCACCTATGTTTTAACCTATCAGGGCAAGCAGTTTCTTTATTTAATTAACCAACGACCTTACTCCATCACCTAACTGTCAGCTCAGTGATGCTTATTGGTGATTTTGAGATGAGTTATCCAAGCAAGGAGTCAGGGATGGGAACTTGATCACAGTGGCCTCCCAGTGTAATGAGTTAAATAGCATTAGAGAAAACTTCTTGTGGGGAATCTTCCTTTAATAATTGGTAATTGTGTGGCTCCCAGGACTGTATAGGGTGTGAAGGGTCTTTTAGTTTTCACAACAGGAGATAATGGCATGAATTTATGTTAATAGATAGTACTGGTGCATGGAAAAAAACTTGAAGAAACATAAAGAGGGAAGTTAGTAGAGTTTAATCCTTTGGTAGATTTGAGAAACTGGGATCTAGAGTTCAAGCAGAATTTTTCTGTCTTGATTAAAGGAGAAGAGAGACCTGCGCAGTGGGTGTTAGATGTTGTGTGTGCCAGCCCCAACTAGGAATCCCTGTCCATTCTTGACATTTTCTAGAATAAGAATACTTTTCCCACTTGAGGTTGAGGAGGGGCTGGAGGTTTTAGGGAAGAAAATAGGTGTGGAAAAAATCTAGGGACTAAGAGAGTTCAAGGTCCAATGCAGTAATGTTTGCATGGTCTCTGCACCCACTGGGTGGCATTCTGTCTCCAGTTCAGACACCCATTTGTGTGCAAGTCATTTCAGAGATTCCCACTGAACTCTGTGGAAAATAAATGAATTTATCCTCAACCATCTGTATGAAGACAAGGTGTTTGAATGAGAAAAGTCCCCTGTTAGGCCCCTGTGTTTGAACATGGAGTTGGTGCTGCTGTCTGGGAAGGTAATTGAACCTTTCAGGAACGAAGCCTTCCTGGAGGAAGTATGACACTGGGGGAGGGTTCTGAGGTTTTATATCCTAGCTCCACTTCCTGTTTTCCCTGTGTGTTTTCTGTGTGGATGAAATGTGAGGTGTCAGCTTTCTGACTGACTGTCCCTCCTTTCCTGGATGGACTGTATTTCTCTATCTCAGTAACAGGAAAGGAACTAATCCACAGAATATTCTCTGTGTAGTAATATTTGGGAGACGGAACATGTGACTGTTGACATCCACTCTTCTACTCAATGCCTTCTAGTTTTTCTGCAATTCTCTATTTTAACATGTGGCCTATCTATTTATTCTCTTGCTCCTTGCAAGAATATAAAAAAATAGTTAAAAGATTAAACAGTGAGGCCTTTCACCTTCAAGTGATTTACTTACAGCTCTCAGAGAATAGTGACTGGTTTTTTTTATTATTAACTTCAAAACCACACCCTCCAAAGACATCCGTGAATTCTTGAAGTAGCCTCTTCGGCTATCTCCCTGTCACAGTTGAGCTAAAGGTCCCCTCATAGTGACAGAGATGAGCAGGGTTGGGTGGACAAGACTAGAGTCCTGTTTCCTTGACTTATGCTTCACTTGAGATGACTTCAACTATTCCAGTCATTTATTTGAGCTTCGGTCATCAGAACCAACACTTTGAATTACACTCAGAAGCTAAAGAGGGAGTCGGTGATGGAGGAGCCAGATGTTACTCGCTTTGTCCAATTCCCTTTGGCAGATGGGCTATAAAAGTCTGAGCTTGCAATTGGGAGGTCTCAAAGTCTTCACACAGCCACAGTATGCATTCAAAGTAACAATGAATCACAGGCTTCAGGCGCTGAGTCTGTTGCCACCGATCAAGGAAGAACTGTTTGTACAGAAGACGGCGCTAGTGGGGAAAGCCACACATTAAACACACCATCACAATGGGAAAAGCCCTTATCATGCTTAATTTGGATGAGACGCTTAGTTCTCCTCCTCTAGTGCCTGACAGCCTGATCTGTAGGTGGAGAGCCAGTCCTCACACCTTTATTACACAGGGAGGCACTCAAAGTGTTTAGTGATAGAATTCAGTTCTTACTTTTTTGGGGGTAAATTCATTAAGAGCAATTCCCATTCTACTTGAAGACTGAAGATGGCTGAAAATTCAGTAAACTCTTCAGTTTAAGAAATTACCTGTAGGCAGTCACTTCCTGGGTCAAACCTCTTATCATATCCTTGAAGGAGCAGGAGTAGGTTTGAATTCTCTGACCTTTGGTCAATATGGAATGGATCCACTTCTGTGGGTCCTCTCAATACCTAGAACACCGAGTAACCACACCTTAGGTCAGGCTATCTTGTTTGTAGCCACACCTTAAGTCAGACGCCTTGAAAGAACAAGAATAGGCTTAAACTCTGACCTTCAGTCCAGGTGGAGCAGATCCACTTCTATGGGCCCTCCACATGATATATGGAGCATGTCTAGATAGCTCACCAAATTTGACTTGCCATGATTTCTACAGGTTGCTTCCATTTTTTTTTAATTTTATTTTTTATTTTCGAGACAGGGTTTCTCTGTAGTTTTTTTTTTTTTTTGTTCCTGTCCTGGAACTAGCTCTTCTAGACCACACTAGCCTCAAAGGTTGCTTCCATTTTTGAAGAACAGAAGCTTACGACCGGAGAATCCACAGGAGATTGCAGAGAAGGGCTTCAAAAGGCACTTCTTAAAATCAATAATGGAAATTCTGTTGAAACAAATGCACAGACTCCCACGATACTTAACAGGAACAACAGTGGACTGACTTTATTTCTTAAAGACTAATCACACATGTTGAACCCATCTTAAATGCAAGCTGTTACCATGTTCTTAGAATGATGAATTTCAAGGACAATAGCATCTTTTTTCTGATTATTTACAGAAGTATATTTTTAAAAGTTTCATCTTTATTTATGTGTACTTGTATGTGTCTTTCTGAGTATGTGACACATGCGTGTGGGTGCCCTCAGAGGCCAGAAGAGGGTATTGTATTCCTTGGAGATAGAGTGACAGATGGTTAGGAAGCACTCAACTCATTCTGGAAACCAAACCTGTGTCTTCTAGTCCTCTGTGAGAACAGAAGGACCTCTGAACTACTGGGCCATATAGACTCCAGTCCCTTGAGTATACAATACCTAAGGACAGATGATCTGTCTATCTGTCTGTCTGTCTGTCTATCTATCTATCTATCTATCTATCTATCTATCTATCTATCTACCATCTATCGCCTATGTATTTATCTATGTATCTATCTATTGTCTATCTATCTATCTATCTATCAATCATCTATCTACCATCTATCTATCTGTCTGTCTGTCTATCTATCTATCTATCTATCTATCTATCATCTATCAACCTGTCTACTTATCTATCATCTATTTATCTATTGAATCACTACCTATAGTACCTCTCTATTTATATATAAATTACTATATATATAAAATGTTTCCTGAGGCTTTAAGATATGTTTTTTTAAACATTTAATACTATAGTTCTTGGCTGATGAGAGTTTAAATTTTTTCTTATTATAGTTAAATTAAGCATTTATATTCCCATAAAAGAGTTTTATATTAAAATAAAATGCCCCATTTTAAATCAGTGTATGATCACACAAGGAGAATATTCCTTATAATTTTTATTAGAATATGATACACATAAGTTATGAGGTGTGTGACTCTGCCAGTCTACTAGAAAGGTTAATAAAGTATTTATGCTGTTATTTCTCACAGATGCATTATTGCCATGGGCCTTGACAGAAAACCATCTTCAACAAAACCTAGGAAGGAAAAGATTGCTGAGAAAAAGGAGGAGCCACTGAAGAAGAGTCAGGGGAAAGTGAGGAAAGAGAGAGAGAATGCACCATTGAAAAGGAACGAGATGGAAGGGAAAGAAACCTCGGTCTCAGCCACGTTTTCAGCTGAGGAACTAAAATCAGTGGTCAGAGAAGTGAGGACGGCTATGGAGGTGATGGAATGGAAGGGCAAGTCAGGACAAGATGCTTGGGAAGAGGACCAGGAAAACACGTTTACATACGGTAACTAAGCAGATTTCTCTTGTTGCTGTTGCCTTAAGCCTCTGAGGATCATTTAAGACTTTCAGATTGATCTGTGGACTGTTGCTTAGCTGTGATCTGTAGGCAGCTGGGCCATGCTTCTTTTACTGTTTCCTGTGAAGTCCCAAGTTCTTTTTCTGGCCTCAGAAGTGTTGAGGTGCTTTCTGTGGGTAGGAGGACATAAGGAAACTTCTGTCCTGCTATCCCGAGTCAGAATCCACTCCTGTAGAGACCATTTGTCCAAACAGAACTTGGTCTATTTCTTTAGTTTTTGAATATGGTTATAGGCGCAGCATCGACTACCCACTTCAGCATTGGTGAGTACAGTCCATGAGAGCATTTGTTGCTAGGACGTTACACACTGACAACACCTTGCATGCAGTTCCAAGTCCTAGCACCTGTCTCTCTTGCGTTTCTCTTTCCCTCTGTCTCTCCCCCTTTCCCTGTCTCTTCTCCTCCCTATTGCCTTGTCTTTCCCTCCCCTTACTCCTCTGTCTCATTCTCCCCCGACACAAATATGTAACACATGCAAACACAGTCAGATGCACACACACACACATACACACACTCACACATCTGCACAGGGGAAGCAACGGTAACATTGCCAGGCTCTGCGCAGTGGGTGGTGCGCCAGGCCCTCTCCCCGCTCACTCTCGCTTTCTATGTGAGCCTTGTTCGTAGCTCCATTTTACAGCATGGAAGATGGGTTTCACTCCTGCACAGACATAGCAGAACTCAGATCCATGCCTTTGTGGATCTATTCTCATTCTCTCTGGACCAATGCTTCAGGTACTGCATGGCTACATGTGATATTCCTAAGGAGCCAGGAAGAGTGCACTGAGTGTTCCTCACAGAGGAGCAGTGGCCACAGGTCAGGGTTCCCTGTGGAAGGTCCGGCCTCTTAGAATCTTGTTTCTTATGTTACTATCCAAGGGTTTCAGAAATCCTAGGGGGAAAACCTAAGTGCTGGGCCTCATATGTTGGTGACAGAGATAAGGGGGCTATTTTAGCTGGGATTTCACTCATAATGCTGGCACCCTGCTCACTTCTCTCTGCACTGCCCCCCATTTCTTACTCTTCCCTCGACTGGGGATTTTAAGATTCAGGGGTAGCTGCAATGGCTACAGAGAGTTGCTTCCAAGTGTTTCCTCTTGGAAGACAGAAGACTTGAAGAGGCCGGGCTGAGGTCCCTGTCCCTTGTTTTCCTCTTTTACAAACATGGCTGTGTAAAGACCATGCCCTTTGGACTGGGTCTATCATCTATGTTAATGAGTTAATGGGTTTTAACTTCCATTTCCATGAGGACCTAGAGAGAGACCACAGCTCTCTGCCTGGCTGTGCCTGATCATGGAACTGGAGCCGGGTTAGGGGAGATGCTAACAGAACCTCTAACTGCCACATTTGAATGCTTGGTGTTCCTCCTTGTCAGTGGGGATTCAAGATAGCACTCTGAATGTTCTAGACAAACTTGGGAGGATAGCAGAAGCTGGTAGCGGAAGGAGGCTGAAGCCCATACCAGTGGTTCATTCCTCTGATTGAAGCCAGGAGTGGGTGAGGCAAAGGTAGCTCTCTTGGGCTCTTGTGAAAACAGAAGGCTGGTAGCTGAGGGAGGACTGAGCTTTCCTGGGGATGACGTAAGGGGTAGCACACAGCTAGAGCAGGGTCAAATTTTATGTTTTGTGGAAAAGCACAAAAGCCTGTCAAAAGCAGGATGCAGGGCTATTTCTGTTACATACATGTTACATACAGGGCACACAGGTGCAAACACACACACACGCACACACACACATAAATAAATAAAAATAAAATCTTACAAAAAATTGCCCGGTAAATTGCCCAGCGATATTTGAATACAAATCTCTTTATTGTCTTTATGTTTGCTCTTTGCATGTTGAAGCGTGCACTAACCGCCTCACCCTGTCCTTTCATCTATGACTTTGTTTACAGATATTTACACTCCTTAGGTGTGCAAAATCTCACGTTCTCTCGGTGTGCCCACTTCGCTATTTCTACCACATGTTTGTTCTCACAATATAAACACTTTCTATGCGTAGGGCACCTACGTCAAAATTAATTTTCTTTGATTGCTTAGGGTGGGCAGTACTCGAGAACATTACCCAGGAGGCCCCACCACCAGAAGAGATGGAGTGTCTAATAACTAAGACACATAAAAATTGGGAAGTCTTTATTTTCTTATATCTTTTAGGTTGAGGATAATTGTTTAGCTGCTTAATTGGTTCTGCATGAGCGCCTCTCGCTGTCTGTCGCTGGCACGCTGTCACTCTGAGATTTTCAGTGTGGGGTGGGGAATAAAGAGCAAACAATTAAATATGAAAGGTGAAAAATTATAACCACGAGAGACAGCTGGAGCTTATATGATGTGACAATTTGCTTTCCCTGGTACAAATTTGCTCCATCTCTGTAGGGAATGAAGTAAATCGGAGACTGTGACAGCGATGTTCTGTTTCTAGAGTTTTGATTCTGAAGCTGTAATTATTTTGGGCGTCGTATGAGTGAACATTGTACATGGTTCCTGTTGTGGCTAAGCTATGAAGCCATCTTTAAATCTTTCCTCCAAGTCCATTTGGGGTTCTCAGCATGCTATTCACATACTATCTCTCAGGTCCTTTGGATGTGATTAATTGAATTTTTTCCACTTCACTATTCATTAGAGTGATACCCAAATATTTTGAACAATCTTTATATGAAATATGACCTCACTAGGTCTGCAGATTAACTTCCATTATTGTAATCCTGTTTTCTTCATTTTTCATTTACTTCCAATTTATCCTTCATATGAAGTCCCCCTCTCTCCATTTTGGTTCACTGTGGGTAGTGGTGTCCATTTGTAAATGAGCCCTTATTAGCTTCCAGCCTTGTCATTTAGGTTTTCATTGCTTTTTGTGCTCTTGTGTGTAGCTGATTGCAGTCTTTGATCATCTGCTGTTAGTCCTCCCTGTTCCATAATTGTGTGAAAAAGCAACAAAGAAAGACCCAGGAAAGAGAGGACAATGGAGCCAGAGTTCTCATTAGAGTGAAATGGTTGAAGCTCCCAGAGTTCTGTTCTCATTGTCACTGTGCGGAGTTTCTTCTTTCAGACTATGAAGAAGATTTCGAAGTGGATGAGGAAAAGCAAGATGAGAGAGCTGAGGATGAGGGTCAGGCTGAGGATCAGACAAGCATAACATCCAAGTCGCCCGCGGAAGGAGAAAAAGATAATTTCAGCCTTGAAAAGGAGATTGAAATCTCTTCAGAGAAGGCACCCGATGCCCGTGCCTGTGAGAACGGCGAGGATGAAGGCTTGGACAGCGAAGAGGAGGATAAACAAGGCAGGTTACAGAGTGTGTCAGGCTGCTTTTGACTTTGCTTTCCGTAAGGTTAATAAGACAGAGATGCAGAGTTACCTAACCCAAGAATCCCCCAAGAATCCCAGCCAGCCATGCCTCAGCGAGTTTCTGAATTGAAGATCTCTTCCTTAGTCTGTTCGCTTTCCTTAGTTTGGGAGATTTTAGCAAGACATTAGATTGGGCTTGCAGTAACCTGTGCTCTGTCTAGTTAGAAAGGTTGTTACATTTTTTTTATCTCAAACTATTTCAACACGCACAAACATACACACAGAGAGAGAGAGAGAGAGAGAGAGAGAGAGAGAGAGAGAGAGAGAGGAGGAGAGAGAGAGAGGAGAGAGAGAGAGGAAAGATTCCAAGTAGTTCCCTTAAGGGTACTCCAGAGGGATACTGAGGCAGACTTTCCTTTTGGGCAAGAAAAGTCAGAGAAGTAGCAATACGGCAGGTCCGCCCGTCGTTTCCAAAGGTCTTATGTAATATAATTGATGGGTAGCCCACGATACCTGCTTGCAGTCAGATTGACGCTGGTTTCTGGTGCAGACAGAAGAACATTTCAGCCCATTAGTAAATGTTAGTCCTTTATACTGGACGTGCAACCAGTGGTCTCAACGCTCAGGGCATCCTAAAGACCCTTTGGGGCACTGGGACTCACAGAGACTCACAGGCAGGCTCTGTCAGGATGGCGCCTGTCATTTCTTCCTGACAGTGGGATTGACAGAGTCAGCTCTGAGGGAGGAGAAAGAGTCTTCTGCAAGTGGACATGACCGGAGTAGCCCCTGGCCCACACTTAAAAGCTTCTATTCGCTGAAAGGATAAACCAAGCAAGGGTTTGTGCTTTGGGATGTTTCTCTTGTTTTTATTTCTTTTCAATTCTGCCATGAACACAGACAGGGTGCTGAGCTGCTAGGTTCATAGGAGGGTTTGCAGGGTTAACCTCTTTCAGCTTAAAATGACTGTAAGTGTTCAAAGGAAAAATAAAGATCTCTTTAGGTAGGACAAGACTTTTTAAAAGATTTTAATTCACTTAAATTCTGTCTAGTAAAACAAGGGACACATTTCCTATTTTGTCATCTGAAGGTATTCGGCCTATGATCTGTGTCTTTTAGTTAAAGAATTCTCTTGGCACCTCATGGGCTTTTATCAATAATGATAAGAATGGTCACACTATATTTGAGTCTTTGTGGTTTTGGTATTTGTAACTAGAGAATGGGGTCACATTACGGGTGTATTTTGAGTTGCTGACTTTTTTAAAGCTTGCTTTTCATTCCAAATTATTTTCTATATAAAAAAATCAAATTTTGATTTTAGGAATTATTAAGATACTATAAAAATTAAGCAATCAAATTGATTATGAATAAACGTTTAGTTTATAATTCACTCTCTTCAAAATTAATTTATGATGTTTTTCTGTTAGCTTAGTGGGTTCACATGAATCTACTGATATTTTAATTATCATCTTCTGCCCCACAGCCCCTCCATTAGTGCCCCACCACCCACTCAAGTCACAGTCTGGCAGGGCTTCTGTTCCCACAGCCCCAGCTCGACTGCGGTCATGCTATGTAGGTTTAAATTAAGTCTCTATCATTCTATTTGTCAAGATGACTCAGGAGTCAAGGCTGGAGTGAAACCTACTAGCCCAGAGAGGCTGAGTAACAACTAACTAACCTTGCTTTTTGACCAAAGAGACCACAAGAGACTTCTTCACTCTTCCCTGAGCCTAAAAAGTTCAGACTCTAGTCCCCTCCCTTTCCTTCCCTGCATCTTCTCTATCCAAATTGCTGGCTTCTCTATGGTCAATTCTTGTCAGCTGATCACTGGCTCCACCCCCTGATTCAAGGTTTAACTTTATTGGGCAGTCTCTGCAATGTCAGAGTGCTATCAAAATATTCTACAACAAATTTAAGCAAGTTTGTTCTAATAGTTAATACACACGAATTAAAAGCAAAAAAGAGCAGCCTTACATAGAGTAAAAGAGAAAACAGTTTTGTTTCAAACCAGGAAAGGGTCCATGAGGATGTGAACAGCATCTTTCGTACTAAACTGCCCGACAGCCAAGGTAAAAAGTGAAAGAAACGCTATTAGAAAATGCAGAATGATGGTGATTCGGTGTATTTGCAAATAAAACTGACGTTCATATTTATTACATTGCTCAAACTTGTAGGTATTTTAATATGTTGAGATGGATCTTTTCTGTAGATATTTGCATTTTAAGTTTCTTACACAAAATTTGTGTAAAATATAATGTGTCAGTTTGAATATACATATGAAGTTCAGTTCATAGTTCTTTATGACTCAGACCTGAATAATTCAATAGAAAATGTTGCTATAGTATAGAAAAAAAGTTTCGTCTTAGTCGATTTTTCAAAGGAATTATCCACGTGATTTTTCTGTCTATAAATACATTAAAATTCAATTGCTATAAGCGATTAGGAACACAGATGGCTTGGGTTTTCATGTCTGCTGTAACAGGGTGAAGATATTAGGCTGTTGCTGTCGCAAAGATCCTGTGAACTCCTTGGCTCTCTAGTTGTCTGAGCTTTGTACTTTCTGGAGATCAAATAGATTTTCCTAACATAATAAGCTTTTATTTTCACCAAGAGAAAGGGATGGGCAGGTCTTCTTTTCTTCCTTTCAGGGACAGCTCTGAGTATCTGCGCCATGACTACTGAATACCAATAGTGACGGAGAGTCTGGCGCTGGCTGCTGCTGTGTGTACCTGGCCACGCTGTAGCTCACCTGGTGACCCCTGCTCAGAAAGACTGAGTTCCACAGTGCCTGTGTGTGTGTGGGGGGGGGGGGGGGGAATTGCTTCATCTACCTTAAACAACCTTCAGAGCAATTACTTCCCCCTTTTTATCTGCATTTTGCAATACGCAAACTGGCAAATAGTGGAATCAAATAATTCCAAAGTCATATAGCCAGGAAGTTCTGCAATTCATTCGCAATTATAACCAAAGCTCAAAGCCTGCACTTTGGAGGAAAGATAGGTTTCTCAAAAGCAGAACATATCCATGTACCTACAATTAAAATCACCATTCAGCCTGGTGAAAGAATTTGTTTCCTGTAGTTCTACAGCTCAGAGGCCTTTTGTCTTCTTTTGCTGCTTCTGCTTTGTTTCTACAAAGGGGAAGTAAAAACAGAATTTCTAAATTTCCCTAGATTGTCCTTTCTCTCCATGAATAAATTCTCTCCATTCCTAGGCCTTGCAAGGTCTCCCTTCAGTGACTCTGTCCCCTGGGGGAGATTGAGTTAATCCCTTTAACCCTATCCAGTAGGAGGTCAGTTTTCAGACATTCCCCATGTATTAAATGTTGTCTCTCAAATTACACAGATGATTAGCACAAACAGCCATGCTAAGAAAACCAGGACGGTGTGTTACTTTGCTATTCTCTTGAAGACAGTATCACAAGAGACTTTGTAGATATGTTTACAGGGCATATTTTGACATCACCCCTTCTAAGGTACTTTGGCTGTGTGATCTCTGGCTAATATTCATGTTATGTGGTTCTTAGACTATTAACTGAAAAAGATACGTAGAATTACATAGAGGCAGAATAGATAATGTTTTAAATAGTTATGGAATGAGAGCGACCAGGACAGTCACTTCACAAATGCTGGGAAACGTTTGAGACAGAATTGAACTGGCAAGCTATTTTCTCTTGTCATTTCAATAACGGAATTCTCAGAGTCCTTTCGGGGGCCCTTCCAGTCCTGAGCGTGCACAGACCCTGCCGCTTTGCCAGAGCTCTGAGATACAGTTATCTCAGTGCTTGTCTGTGACCTCCCAGGAGGCCTCCTGTCTTCTGGACCTTCGTTAATCAGATTCCATTGTGTTGCTCGAAACTACGCTTCTTAGTATGGGACGTGTAAGAGCTGGCGATTTCATCCAGCTAATACATAGCATTTATTGGAGATGACAATATTGTGCAGTGGATTTCATGGAAAACGCAGCGTTTCACCTACAAAAGAGTGAGAGGCATAGCATGGGCGCGGAATCCCAGACACCTGTGCATCCCTTTTATTGACATGATTAAGAATCTTGCTGTTAGTGTTTGGATGTGTTTCATTTGAACCTGCCTGCACCTGTTCCCGGGGGCAAACAATTGCCCAGGCTGTCACTCTCGTGACAAGTCAGCCCTGTTTAAACTGCCAGCTCACAATTGCCCTGCACACTTTGATGAATCCACTGTCAAGTGGCCCATGAGTGATGGAGGAGAGCCGACTCAGAGAGGACCCTGCTCCAGGAATGGCGTGGGCCGCTTCCTGCCATTTCAAAGGGACGATGGCTTCTGATCTCTGCGTTTGTGTTTGCAAGCCTGGACATTAATTTACCAGCAGAAAATGCTTTGTTAAAGATGAATGCTGTGAGTCTGGTAGGGAAAACACTGTGTGACCAGGAATGCACTTTTCCTGGGCAGTTTGGAGGTCAAAGCTAAGTAATTCCTCATGAGAAAAAAAGGGAGAAGCAGTGAAGACAGACCAGAGAGCAGGAGGCAGACAGTGTTGTTTCTCCGACTACTCAAAGAGCCAGATTTGAAGCACGTGTTTGTTTTATAATAGTTCACTTGTGTGTTCTTCAGTTTGATAAAGCCGATGCCGTAGACCTAAAATCTCAGACTCACCAAACATTCAATTTACTGCAATTAAGATTCTTACCATCTTGGGGTTTTATTCTTTTGCTTAAATATATACTTTGATGATTGCATATATGTACCCAGTGTATTTTGGTCATATTGGCTATGAACTTGAAGAGAAGGCCATGGCAAGGTCCTCTTCTATAATGACATTGTATTTGACATGATTTGACGAAATGACTACTGCAGGGTCATATCCCGCAGCCTGGGTAGGGGAGAGCCATGAGGAAATTATACACAATGGATAGACACTTTACGTGTTCATTTTTGCACGGCTTGTCATTATTTGTTTCTTTTCACTTTGTTTCATGTGGATGGGTGTTTGCCTACATGCATGGAAGTCTGTGGTCCACCTGCTATGTTCTGGTGGAGGCCATAAAACATCTTTGGGTGCCTTGTAACTGTGGTTGTAGACAGTGGGTGCTGAGCCCTCTGCACGCACAGTGAGTGCTTCTAACCCTTGAGCCTCCTCTCCAGCTTCAGTCAGTCATTTCTTAATAACATGCATTCCTTTACTGCTGGCTGCTGAAGAAGGAAGTCACAGATTCAAGAAATTTGGTTTAATCCACCATTGCTTAGTCTACATTCAAATACTTTCAAATGAGCTCTTCCACCATGGCTTTGTCGTTTTTGATGTGTGATAGCACTATGTGGCTGAGGCTGGCTTTGAGCTTGAGATCCTTCTGTCTCGGCCTCCCATATGCTGGGAACAGAAGAGCGTGTGTCACCACACCAGGCCTCTCTACACTTCTGAACGCACATGGTTACATAGTTATGATGTCACACAGCAAACTTCTGAAGGAAGATTGATTGACCAGCTCATAATACAAAAGCATAAAGGTTTACACAGTACAGCATGATGTGATTTGTTCTGGTCTCAATACTGAATTCACTATACAGCTTAGCAAGGTCAATCAGACAGTGTAGAGGCGGCTACCCTCTGGGGCCCCTTTTTCCTGTCATAGATATATAGTGAGCAAATATGTCCTTATAAAATAATGTACATATTTAACTCAATGGTGAATTCACATATTTCATGGAGTGATAATTGATTACCTGTTGAGGGCCAGATACCTGCTCTTACAATGAATGATGAGCTTATACATTAGTTTAATTTATATTTCTATGTTTTAAAATATCTATTCATTCTAGAACAGTGGTGCTGAACCTGTGGGATACCATATACATCAGATGTTTGCACTATAATTCATAACAGTAGAAAAGTTACCGTTATGGAGTTGGAAAGAGACAAGTTTGTGGTAGGGGGTCACCACAATATGAGGAGCTATACTAAAGGCGAGCAACATTAAGAAGGTTGAGTAGCACTGTTTTAGAATGTTCACTGAGTACCAACTCTTTGTTGTTATATTGTATGTGAAGATTTCACCTGAACCCTGGTAGCTGGAACGAGAGGGAAATAGTTCACACGCGCATGCCTATAAGCAGGAACCATTAGTATATGAACTCGTGTGCCTTCGCCAAATCGGAAGAACAAAGGAAGTGTCATTTGTGAAGTGAAGGTTTTGTTTTGAATTCTTAAACTTAGTAATAAGAAAGATGCCATTGGCAATACAGTCGGAAAGAGTTGTGGCTCCATTGGCTAGATGTCAATTTTTAATAGAAATTAACCACTTTAAGTTGTATAATTAAACCCAGTATCTTAGATTCTAGGTAAACAACAATGAAGTGACAAAACAGGGTGACAACCAGGACTCTGAGGAACTAGCAAGTTTTCAAGTTTGCTACGTGCTGAAGAGTGTGGGAATAATTAAAAAAAAAAAAAAACCAACAAGCTTGCCTCCGGTGAAGATGGCGCAGGCTCTGAGGGTAGGAAGAGCGGAGCCACACTTTCTGAGCGCTCTTCAGGACAACTGCTTGGAAAATGAGCCAGCACCCCAGGGAACAGCACAGTTATCCAGCTGGTCTGCCAACGTGAACAAATCACTAGTCATTGAAGGGCCTGCCTTCCAGCTGGAAGGAGAGGCCGTGGCTCGCTTTTCTTTGTAGACTATTTCCTGGCACATTGGATGTCCTCAGCTTTAAGGGATGGGTGTGTCCATGCAGGCCATCTGCATTGTCAATGGTATGGGAAAGAGAGGAAAGTTGGGGATTGGATAAATATTAGGGGAACCATGATCCTGCTAGGGACAGGAAACAGTGGGGGACGTGCAGTTGGCTTTGGCAGAGCCTCAGACACTGAGTACAGATCTTTTCCTGGACAAGGGGATCAGGAGGAACAAGCTCTCTCAGTAACAGGACAGGGATAGGGACTTTTTGGAAAAAATGGAATCAGGCAAGAGGCTGTGGCTTTACTTTGTACCTCTAGTAGCCTCTCCATTCTAATGACTAACAATTTCAAATATGTCCTCAAGGTTGCTTTATTTGGAACTTTCTAGTATAAATTTTGCCTTATTTCTAAGAGAGGAAGCGCAACTCATTGTGGAAATCCCATTGCACGAACCTGAAGCCTTTTCTGCAATCCTTGTCTTACCCCAGCGTCTGCACAGACATGGAGCAAGAAGGGAGAGTGGGAGTCAGTTACACCAGGAGATGAGGGAGACATTTGGAGACAGAAAGGAGTTTGTATTGGAGGTCTGGTGCCCTAGCTACTGAGAGGCCACACATTTCCCCTTCTTTCTTTACTGAAAATACTCAAAACTGAACCAGGATGGGCTGTTGGTCTTTTGAAATAAGATGATATACCTAATAGAAGCTACCGAAAAAGACAGAAAAGGTAGCCTGTGAGCAGTGCACAGAACCCAAAGTGGCAATCATCCTGCCAACATTCAGATGGCCCGTGCAGTGTTGGGGTCTCTGACTATGCTGAATGACATGTCCTAACTAATATACATTGGGTAGAGTCATCCACTAATAAGTGTGAGTTGTTTCCCTTAATTTTTGGGGGAGAACAGAGTGTGAATGGCCCAATTAAGGGTTCTCTAGAAGCACAGAGTCACCTGGTGCTTGCCCACGGATTGTGGTGACAGGAATGGTGTTTTAGAGAGGCTGCTGCTTAAGAGAGCCTTACTAGTGTCTTGGAAGTGTTGGCATGTCTCTGTGGCTATAGTTAAACTGCTATAGAGAGCTGTGCTATAGATTGCTGGCAGAGCCAGAGGGACAGGAGGATGATGAAGGAAAGGCTGGCATTTTTACTTATTTAGTTCTCGTCTTTAGTTCCACATTAGCTGGCCCAGCCAAATGTGTCAGCATCATACAGTGATACAAAAGTCAGCTAAGTGAATGTGGAACACAGAAGAAATAAATCTGGAAGACCGGGAAGCTCTGGAGACTCCCACTAGTTGGGATATTCTATATGCATGTTTGGTCCCTGGTACCCTCAAAAGATAAAGTGTTTTCTGCAAAATAATTTTAAGTTCAGAGCAATTGTTTATTTTATTTTATTTATTTCTTATGGATACAATATTCTATCTGTGTGTATGCCTGCAGGCCAGAAGAGGGCACCAGACCTCATTACAGATGGTTGTGAGCCACCATGTGGTTGCTGGGAATTGAACTCAGGACCTTTAGGGAAGAGCAGGCAATGCTCTTAACCTCTGAGCCATCTCTCCAGCCCCCAGAGCAATTGTTTTTTAAAGCAAACATGAGCTTGTGCTTTTCTTATCTGAAGCAATGGAATCAGGGAATTTTACAATTGTGCCCCTTTCTTTCACGGATTCAACACGTAGGTTCACTCTTGGGAAGTTTCCACAAGCCTTTTAGGGTTCACGTGCAAGCCGTTTTTGACTATTGTATGTTTCTCGCATACATCCTTCTGGCAGTGCATCTGGGGCCTCTATTTTGGCTCTGTGATCTGCAGTGTTATTTCTCCACCCTGTCCTCTTTCACAGATTGCCTTAGGTTGCCCGAAGTTTTTCACCCTTGGGCATAAACTGCCTGGAGAAACCAGGGAGTTTATATTCCCCACAGGGTGGCCCACAGCCAATTATCTCTGTAGTTCAAAGTGAGAAAACCTGCTAGCTCTTAAGCCCATTACATCCCTCCTAGCCCAGCTGCCAGCTGAGTTGAGCTGATTCTGGGAACAGCTCATTGACTGACTGTCTCCCGTGCTTGCCTGGCTTCCTCACTCCCCGAAGACACTCTCCTGGAGCTCATCCTCAGTTTATCTTCTTCTCGGGCAGCTTCCTTTCAATGTCTCCCTTCTAGGGACTCCAGAAACGGTGTTATTTACACACACACACACACACACACACACACACACACACACACACACACACCAAACACATTTCCCAATGCCCAGCTGCATTTGTGAGTGCAAAGATGGTACCCAGATGCCAGAGTATTCTAGGGTTTTACAGTAGATAAAACATTACTGCTGTGATTAAACAGTAGAAGTCAATATGTGTTCTTACAAAAACAAAGTCGTACCCGAAATTTCTAATAGCAAAGGTATTTATAGCCTCTCTAGAGATTCTGAAAGAGAATTCAAACCTGGAGTTGGTTTTCTGGTAAATGTGATCTATTAAACTGGCTTGGGGGCACAGACCTTAATGCCTAGCAATTGGGAGGCAGGGACTGGAACGCATGGGGTATAAAGCAGTGAAACACTGTCTTGAAATAAGACACAATTAAATAACCATCACAAAAATAAAAGTAAGTCCGAACCAAGCCAAAAATCTCTGGTAGTTTGCAGATCAGTTTTTAATCACGATAATGACATAGAATACACTGAGAAAGTGATCCGTTCTCCCTAAAGTTTGTTAGTGGGTTAATACGATTTCTTCCCACTATCGTTCCCTATCAGCTGACACATTTACTGTATAGCGAAGATGTTATCATTTTATTTTTTGCAGATATTAAGACCGTTTCTTCGAACTCGTCTAGAAGTCATCCCTACTCCAGTGAAAGCGAAGATGAATCTGCGGAGCCGAGCGCAGATGTTCACTCCGGAAACAGTGCAGGGGGAAGTTCCAGAAGTTCCTCTTCTCAGGACCTACGCGAAAGTGACGGCCAAGGAAAATACCACGTCCCAGTCGAGGAGTCCTTGGAAACTGAGATCGAGGAGCAAGAAATCACTAACGGAGAAGAGGTTCACGGACCTCCGCTGACAGAGGTTAGTTGTTTGCCTGCTGAGGAAGAACCAGTGGAGGTAACCGAAGAGATTACAGAACCCAAGACGTCTGGGCAGTCGGCTTCCCCAGAGGCGAAGGTTAGAAGCCAGCTCCAGGAAGGAGGCACCTCCGTGGTGGAGGACAGAAAAGCCGACCTCCCTGGGCTGGAAGAAGAGGGTAAGTACAGCCAATGAGGTGACGCCACGCTCACGCACGGCCAATGAGGCGACACGCTCACTGCTCACTCACGTACCTGTGCATGGAAGCTGATTTGTGTCAATGCGACTGCCAGAGCTGGGGAATCAATCTGGATGATTCTGGAAGGATTCTATATTTGCCTTTCTCCTTGTCACAGAATTTCACATGTATTTTCAGCTTGCTGTTTTCCTTCTATTGCATTTTAAAAATGACTTGATCATTCTTACATAGCCTGTTTCCTATTTTCTGTAAATTCCTTCCTATGGTAATTCTATCTCAAAAATCAAATAAAACACGATACGTGTGTGAAAGTCAAAGACATGTCTGGCTTTTTAGAGGTCGATGTTAACGCTGCTGTTTGTTCCCGAGTGGTGGATACATTTGTATATGTATAACTCATGTGGATGGTGCTTAGCGTGTCCTATGCATGGCTGTATGTTGGATGTGAACTCATTGCATCATAACCATGGCCATCTCTTCTCTCCGGGGGAAGCAGCCATTTCTTAAGAAGGTTGTGTTGCCAAGAACTGAAGAGCCAAGGGGCAGTCCCAGAGTTGGGTCAGGTGGAGCGGCCCCAGAGCTTCTTGTCTCCCTCTCATTGTAGATTAGATTCTTACACAACTATTAAAATTTCCTAAGCTATTTCATTCTGAACTATACTCTGACACCGAGCTCTTTCAAGGTCGCTGGGTTTCCAGGGTGTGTGGGCAGGTCCTGTTTGATGAGAGAAGTTTAGGGTGGGACAATGGATCCCCAGGACCACAGACGCATGGAAGGTCAGAAGCTTCTGTCACCTCAGAGAAGACAAGGAATGGATAGAGCCCAGTCTGTGGCTAGTGAATTAATGTGTCTTCCTGATAGCTGCTTCTCACAGAGAGCATCCTGTATCCTTCCAGGCCTCCAGGTCTCCACCATTTGCTCTCATCTGCCTCCCTGACAGTGCACCAGACAAGCTGCTGGGTTCCCAGTTAAATCTGCTTCACAGTTTCATATTATGAATCCAACCATGTTTTTAAAACTTTGAGTGCTTTTAATTGTTATACGTTTTAGATCTCTAAAAGCTATTACTGAACTATTCAGGCCTACATCTCGGAATAGAGGATATTGAATAGTTACCTGTCTGTCTTACTGCTAATGTAACCTTGTAGTATGCCATGGTAGTATAGTCAAGACAAGGATGTAGTGAAGCTCCTTCCAGAAAGTGTTAGAAGGCGTGACCACTGGGCTGATGTCACTAACTATGTCTAGAATGAGAGAAGGGATGTGTCATGTAAAAGTTCAAAGCAGGACAAGTCCCACACAGCTAAGATTACTTTGATAGAGCTGCCTACCATGACTTGAACGGGGATGACGCCAGTAGGCATGCTAATGTGGAGGGAGAAAGCTCATAAAGCATTTCTTAAGATGAAATCAGAAATCTTACAGAGCTAAAATCAAGCTTCTGGAAGCTTCGAGGAGACTCAACCCCTTCCCTTCTCCAGTCTGCCTTGCACTCACCCACATCAGTCTCTCACCAGCTTCATTTAAAACCCCACCTTACCATCTCTAAGTCTGCCCTCCCACAGACTTCTGCTCCCCTTCAAACTCTTGCCCCTCTGCCCTGTCTAACAAAGGCACACGGGTGCACACATGGAGTCCTGATACCAAGGCTCTTTATCACGTGTGCCAAGGTGGTGGGATGCAAGGCGATCCCTGTAGGTTTGCAGAATAAGGATATGGTCTTTCAAGCAGGGGATACTGTTGAGTGTTCTAAACGTTTCAAACAAATTAAGAATGCATGAATCACTTGACATGGGCAATAGGAAACAACCAGAAGAACTTACAGAAAATAAATTATTCATCCTGTAATACCATGTAGCAAAATCAATGATAGAAAGGAAAAGTTATTTGAAATATTTGAAGCATAGATTTTTACATATATTTAAATAAGTAAATAATATTTGGAAAGTAGGGTTGCCATACAATGGATTGTAATATGCTGATGAATAAAATAACAAGTGTTGAACACATCAGTAGATTTTATCCCTCATATTTTAGAAATGGTAAGTATATTTGTTTATTTTCTCAAATACATTGGGAAACATATTACATGATGCCTCTGATTTCACAGGCATTTTATAATCTTTTTATGAACAGGTTTGACACTGGAAGGCCAGGAATGAAACTTTTATCCTTGCTAAGCTTTAATACACGAGCTAATTTTGTTAATGTTTATTCTTCATTAATATCTATATAAATACAAATGGAGCATCTATAAACTAGAAAAAAAAGGTAGTTTAAAAATACTCTAACATTTATTACATGAAAAATCACTTTCATTGTTTGGTAAGTTTTAAATTTTCAATCTGACATTTTACAGTTAATTGTTGTATTTTATACATTTATTAAGCTTTTATAAAGCATGCTCTGCCTTCTGCTACAATGTGACTCTACAAACACTCCTGTGTGGCTCTGATGAGCATCCTTAACGTCCACGGATTCCATTCTTGGGCTTCCTCAGAACCTAACCTTTTCTTTACTGATGGATATTTATATTTTCCCACACTTATTTTGATACATTTTTAAATTCTCACTATGATTAGCAGTTCTTTTGTGTTTGATTACCTATTTATTTCAAATTCACAAATATTTCCTCAAGATTATAAAAAGTATAATTTATAAGTCATAAAAAGTATAATTTCTGTATCAAAAGTTACAGGGTTTTTTTTTTTTTGTGCCTTGATGGATGTTCTTCTCGCTCACAAACAATAGCCTCAAAAGTTTAAGTATTTCAGGGAGGAGGACAGGGTGCCAGGAAATCTGGTGATTCTGTCCTCCCATCTTCCTCATATGTGTGGCTATAGCCAAGAAAACACTCACGGTTCCAGACATTTCATAGGATACACTTAGATAATGTGAACACAAAATAATAGATGACTAGTGTTTTGTTAGTTATAATTTAGAAGACATATAGAAATGCAGTAATTTCTGGTGTGTGTGTGTTTGTGTGTGTGTGTGTGTGTGTGTGTGTGTGTGTGTGTGTGTGTGTGATGCTGGGACTGAACCCAGGGCTTTGAGCCTGTTAGCCAAGTGCTCTACCAGTGACCTGTATCTGCAACTTCATTCTGTGTTTTTAGGTATAAATTAAGAATAGTCAGCTTATGTAATTTAGCTGAAGTAAGGGTACAACTAAAGTAAAATGTGATTTGTTGTTATGTGCACAGAATAAAACAGGTCTGAGTGAAAGCAGACAAATCTGAGCTGAGCTGAGGTCTAAGGACAAGGTCTGAGTGAATGTGGAAGTATTTGGTCGTCTGTTCTGGTAGATTCCTTCTGCCACTGTGTGTGGACGTCTTCAGGCATCTGTTCCGGTAGATTCCTTCTGCCATGCCCGGCATATGCTTTGTGTCCAACACGGTTCTTTGTGTGAATAGGACAAAGTCCTTGACTATACAAAGTTTGTGATCAGGGAGGAAATATGTTTGACACACGGATCGTTAAGCGTGTGGTTTACCTGGTGTGTAAATGAGGAGGCAGAAGATTGTTAAGGGGTACTTTTTGAGGGCTGGCTTTTCTGCTAATGGTACATTTGAGCAGAGACATGAGGAGGGGACAGAGGTCAGATACTCTGTCACCTGCTGGAGATCTGAGGCACAGCTAGGAGCCTCAGCCCTGGACCGCGGACAGAGTTTGGGAAGAAAGCCAGTGTAGTGGAATAGGGTGAAAGGGAGGCAAAAGGGGAAGAGGAGGGAAGAAAGCCAGTGTAGTGGAATAGGGTGAAAGGGAGGCAAAAGGGGAAGAGGAGGGAGCCAGGGACAGGGAGAGGGAGAGAGGAAGAGACGCAGAGGGGAGCCGAGGTAGACTTACAGACCTCTGTGAAGTACTTATTCTGCCATGGGAAATGCTTCCGCTGGAAATTTCAGAGTGGACAGATGCCATGATCTGAACTTTGAGAAAGACGACTCTCCCTCCTGTAGGGAGGATGGAGTCTGTCCTTGAACAGCTGTGACCTTGAACTTATAATTAATTCTAAGTTTTGTGCTCCTTGCTTCAATGTCATGGGTAACACCAAAGCATCCTCACTGTGCAGGCCGACGAGGTTAGCTGCGAGTCTGTCAGGATCAGTTTCGGGGAAGGTAATTGATCCCCTACAAAGGATGATAGAGGCACAGAGATACTCTCCAAGGTGACTGTGGACTTAGAGTGAACTTGCCTATGTCTCCACTCTGCTTCCATGGATTTTTATGGTTTAGAATTTCAGATACAACCATTGGCATCATTTTCCTCTGCTGTGGAGCAGCTCAGTATTCTTTGCATGTTTACGATGGGACCATTTCATTTTGTTTCAGCGCTCGCAGAGGAGAAGGGATGAATTCCCTGTCCTTGAAGGAACAGGCGGAGAATGTAAAAGATGCACGGGGCTACCAGCTAAGGCGCTTGCTTGCATTTTGACATCTGAAATTGTGGGGAAGAGAGGTAATGGTGGGAACTAAGGGCAGTGTGGGATGGACAGACTGACATTTATGTTTTGTGGCTTCACCAGGGTTTTTAGTTTGTGTACTGGGCATCTCATTTTGCACTGCCCAAATTCCTCCTCAGGCCCTGCTGGCTACAAAATACTTGATACTTCATAGAAACAAACAAAACTTCCCCAACACACAGTAAGTGGAAGCTTTTGAATGATCCCTGTCCATTTCTTATTTCTCTAGAGATTTTTGTTTTACCTGAACTGGGTAATAATGAATGCAAAAAACTTTATTTTTTTTAAATAATCACAAAAGTAAACATGGCATCCTAGATTTGTGTTTAGTTGACAAATTATAGCCCTTATTGCAACATCATTCTGTGCCTTACTTTTTCTTAGAATCCAAGTTTATGATAAGGAGTCTATAGAAACTTCTAACTTACTCATTTAAACCATATGGACAGACTGTGCTTCAAAATGATTGAAACTTTTTTATTAAGTATTCTTGACTCAGACATTTATTGGCGTTCTGTTTGTATCCTATCTATGAGAGCCTGAGCTTTGGCATTTCATGGTCTGGTTTTATTTACACCAGTGTTCAGCTTTTTGCAGTGTGCTGGCCTCTTGGCAGGTGCTAAGACGTAAGACTTAAGGACAATAAGGCTCCATTCCAAAAGGAGGCTAATCAGGAAACTGAAGATACCAGTGCAATCGGTGATAAGAGCTCTGTGTGTCCCAGCCTTGGCTCTGTTTGAAATCAGGCCAATCATAAAGGGTTGCACTTGGAAAGTTGTGATTTTTCTCCTGAATCATGGACATTTTCACGATCCAGATGTCACACAATCCACAGGATTTGTTGCATAAGAGCATGAGAGAGAAAGACACAAGGAGCTCCCTGGAGTTGATTTCCCATGAGAAAGAGAAGGAGCTCAACATAATTAAGAAGTGATCCTCTAAGATCGTCAGTTCTCGGTGGTGTTGAAGCTGAGGGAAAATCAGAACGTTCTCCTTCACAATGAACATCAGAAAGCAAAAGTCTGGGCCAGGCCACAGTCTCTGGAGCAGGGCGAGGCCAAGACACAGGGTGGCCTCTCTGCCTCATCTCCTCTTCCTTCCACGTAGTTCTTGGGCCTATCCTTTGGAATGTATATCTACTTAGCTTAACACGTCGGAGGAGGCAGGTATGCAGTTCCTACCAGAAGCTATTGGCATTCAAGAAGCTTCCCCACTCTTTAGATGAAAACACACAACACACAGTTTTGTATAAACAAAACTGCCCCTCTTTCCCAGTAGATAATGATGTAAAAGGCAACAATAGGGCTTAGAAGGTTGGCTCACTGAATTCTCATGCGCCCTTTCCCTTGGGGTACAGCGTACAAGTTTTGGGGTCCAGGTCCTCTGGCAATGGTGCAGCAAAGCGAGGACTCCTTTGCGCAGTGTGCGCTGTGCTCACGATAGATGAGAAACGAAGGAGTTCGCCAACAGTTCTCGCATCAAAGAAAAATTCCACTCCTTAATTATTGATTATGCTATTAGAACAAGAAAATGGTGTTTTACAGATGATGTATTTCAGACTCTAGACTTATATAGTGGCCCCACCCAAGCTCGAGTGAAGAGCTGCTAAGTAATACATCACAAATACGAAAGCCCATAGCACTACTTCCAGGAGTGGGTGAGAAGGGAAAAGAGAGAGTGTCCTGGCTGAATAAAAATGGGGAAGAGGTAAGAAGTCAAACAGATGCTGGAACACTTTCCAGATTACACTCTCCATTTAATGTGCCATGGCTACAAACCACGGCCATGATAATTTGGAATATAAAAAAATTATAGAAGCTAGCACCAAGTAATTAGAAATTATGTCGAGTATTTTCAACAACAATGAGTCAGTAATCACTCTAGCAAAGGAAACTGGAGAAAGCTTTGCCTTGTATATTTAATAGAGATGATATTTTTAACAAGGAAACAGTTCTTTAAAAAGAAGAGTTCTAAAACCTCAATAGGAAAAACCCAGTCACCATGCAGCAGGAAATTAACAATGTATCAAACAATGGTCATAACTCAATATCCACTGGCTACATAAATTAGACATTAGTCACATAAATTTTGGATAGGCATTGTGTGTGTATGTGTACACACGTGCATGCATGCATGTATGCATGGCGCTGGGGATCTAGTGCCAGTTCTGGAACATGCTAGGCACGTGTTCTGTCACCGAACCTATCTTCAGCCTGAATTTTTATTTGGAGCATCCATATCAGTTGTTCTCAACCCGTGAGCTGCGACCTCTTGGCATCGAATGATCCTTTCGCAGGGGTCGCAAATCACATGTTCTAATATCAGATAGTTACATGACAGTTCATAACTGCAAAAGTACAGTTATGAAGTAACAAGGAAAATGATTTTATGGGCGGGGTGTCACAGCATGGGGACAGTATTAATGGGTCACGGCGTCAGGAAGGTTGAGAATGGCTGCTTTGTGCGCACTGAAAGACCCTTTTACCTGGAGAGCAGAGAGACAGAATATATTGCTAAACTGGCAATGTGGGATGTGAGGACCTCTGCAGAGGAAGAGGGAAGCGAGTGAAGCCTCCCAGGAAACCACGGGAATATTAGTGAGCAGGGCCGGCTTAGAATTGTGGGTGCTGCTTATTTTTAATTCCCACTTTTATTTCTCTTCTAGTTTTAGATAATAGTGGCTTTATACCGTTTTTATGTTTAGGGAAGTATGGCTTGTATCATTTGAGAATGCATTTGTTTTAATAACAGAACACTAACCTTGTAATGCATAGTTATTTTAGTATTTTGAGCACTATTTTGAGGTTCGCTACATCACTGGGGTGGAAAGGATGGTTTTCTAAGAAATTCCCAGAAGGAAGTTATCTATTTGTTGTGAATCCTGGGAGAACTGACAATTGCCGTGGCCTTTCGTGGTCACCTGTATAGAGAGCTACAGCACAGGGTGAAGGGTAGTCAGAAGGAATGAAGTGGCTGGCCCCGTGGGTTACAGGCGAGTGTGGGCAGGCGCAGGTGACTTTCACAGAGTGTGGAACTGGCCAGGTGCTGGCTACAGCCCTGACTCACAAAGGCAGCTTCACCATTGATTTGGAGTGAGTTGCCATGGTCAGGTTAACATGACTGCTTAGACTAGTTTTTTTGTTCAGTGGCAGCTCTATAACTATTGTTTATTATTATTATTTTATTGTAAGCCATAGTTCTTTAAAGATTTTGGTTAACATTCACTGCACTGATTTAATTATGATATTTGCATCCATGTATGACACACTTCTTTTCCGGTTCACCCACAACCCTCCCTTCCTCTCAGCCCCCTTCTCAGTGGTCTGTTTCTTCCTCACAAGCCTGCCCTTCTCTCGTGTCCTGCCTCTGCCATGACCTGTGTTTTCAGCCTTTCCCATCCCTTGAGACCTCCTCCTTCTACCCCAAGCCACCATCCACTTTCCTGCCTGCACACATATGTGAGTTTGCACCTAGACCCCACATATGAGAGAGAGAACGTGTGGTATTTATTTGTTGGAGTTTGGCTTATTTTAGTAAAACCCTCATTTCCTTGCAGCGTTTGGCACCCAGGACAAACTCAGGTGTACTGAGAAATGCTGCTGAGTCAGGCTCCATCCCTCGCCCTAACATCCTGACGCTTGGCTTTGCTCAGTCAACCACACTGTTTCACTCAAATCCCCAAACTATAGCTGATTTAAACTTTAAATACACAACATCACGATGACATTAATGATAGGAGGGGTTCATGTCCTCCAATCACAAATGTCCTAAACTGACTCAGTAGCACATCCAGCCGGAAATGAGTTGTCAAGAAGTGCTGTCAACTCCAAACTGTAGTGTCCTGAGTAAATGTTTCAGTTGTCAAGAAGTGCTGTCAACTCCAAACTGTAGTGTCCTGAGTAAATGTTTCAGTTTGTACATGGGGTGAACGAAGAAGCCTAATGTTCAGACAGAATCATAAACAATGTATCTGAGCTATACAATGTTCCTCTTTCTCTTTGTCTTAATATTTATTTCGTCACTGAGAGACACCTGTAGATATCACAGTATTTCTTGCCAAACCACCAGTTACTTCAAAGAAATTTGTTAAGCTGGTCAAGATTACGTCATAGTTGTTTCTCTCAAAGCATAGTCCTTGGATTAGCCTGCATCGTGATGCCAAAGATGAGGAAGAAGAGGCAAAGGAGGGAAGAGGCACGGAAGCAGAGGGGGAGACAGGAGACTGACCCTCAGTGTTTCCTCTCCTGAAGGCAGGTCTCTGTCCCAGGTTATCGCTGGAATTTCTGCTGTCACAGGGTGATAAGTAGTAACATTAGTGAAGTTAGACACAGACCATTAGATGACCAGCAGTGAGGAGACCGTGATGTTATAACGACACTAAAAACAAATGTAATTGACTTTACAGTTTACCTCAGCTTGGGCTTTGGGCTATGGTATTAAGTATACAGGCACTTGCTGTCCCAGGGGCTCAGGTGACTCTATACATTACTTCACGTCCTCCTCCTGATACCTTTGATTCCATCTCTTTTGACAGACAGGTAATCTGAGGAAACAGCATGGAAGATAGGACTTGAACCTGGACCTCTGTGCCTTGCAGGTCCACGGTAGTAGTCAACGTTATAGAACAGAAACTCGTGTGAGAATGTGCACTGTCAGACGGATAGGAATCCCACGACAGCTTATGTCCACACAGGGTGAGCACTGAGGTCAGATCACTAGATCTCCTAATGGACGGGACACTCGGTGAGGCAGCATGCGTAGGTTCAGGAATTTAAAAGAGCAGTAAGGATTGGTGTCATAAGCGAAATAACAGACGTTTCTAGAAAGCGAAAGGCACCTCGGCTGCTTCTCCAGTCCCACCATCCATCGCGTGTGCACTTGGCAACTGTCACTGCTTCTGGCTGCTGTCGTATTTTCCTGGAAGTGCTGCTTTGCATGGATCTCCTCACTACATGATTGACTCCCGTGTGTTGTGTTTTCCTCTCAAAAATCATAGCTTAGGAGCTGTTTGATCTTTATGTATTTTTGGAAGCAAATCACATTTTCATGTGAATTTGTTTAAGTTAAATTCATCCATCTTACTCAAACCATGTGAAATACTAATGTCCCCATGGCCTGTCTTACGCTTTTTGATATTTTATATGCTCTCCAATCAGTTGGACAGAAAACAGGTGAAGCCCAAGCACCTGGCCACTACCGCTCCAACACTGCAGCTGGACTTAGCAGCCCAGGGGATGAGGTGACACCCACGAGGGAACTGGAGGTCAACCTGAGCAGAGGTAAGGGCCTGTCGTTACTTAGGGAAGACCTGAAGGGAAGTTCTCTGCAAATGCCGCCTTGTCTCCATCTTTCATCTTCAAGTCCTTGTTTGGTCCTTTTGCCCCTTCCCTCCCTCCCTCCTTCCTTCTTTCCTCCCTCCCTCTCCCCTCTCTTTCTTTCTTCTTTCTTTCCTTCTTTCTCATGTAATGGATATGGATGGCAAGAAGTGCCCCAGAGATTTAAAGAAGAGCTTTGAAACTGACATTAGCTATAAATGCTGTTTTTTTTTTTTTTAATAAACCGATGTTTAAGACATAAAACAAACAAGAAAAAACCTGACTGGTCATATTCCATAGCCTTACTGACAGTTAACTGACCAAAGTAGATGAATTTATCTTTGCTGACCAAGTAAGAGATGTTAAGAGCCCTAGCACACACCATGTTTTACAACGGCTCATGTAAACTTCTCAGTCCTTTGAGAATTAGGAAAGGATTCGCTGTTGTCAGTGCGTAGTGGGATCAGTATTCCATCTTCCAGATTGCCTACTAAACATCAAGTCAACGAATGGACTTCCTCATATGTGGTGAATGCTGTTTTAACTTTGCTTTGATTTGAGTGTGAGAGAGTGTGAGAGAGTGTGTGTGTGTGAGTGTGTGTGTGAGTGTGTGTGAGTGTCTGTGTGTGTGAGAGAATGTGTATAAGAGTGTGTGAGAGTGTGTGTATGTGAGTGTGTGTGAGTGTCTGTGTGTGTGAGAGTATGTGTATAAGAGTGTGAGAGTGTGTGTGAGTGTGTGTGAGTGTGTGTGAGTGTGTGTGAGTGTGTGTGAGAGTATGTGTATAAGAGTGTGTGAGTGTGTGTGTGTGTACTTGTTCTGTTCATCACTTTACCTTATCTCCAGTGTTAAGTGAGAGTTACTATGCACGGTGAGACAGCGTCATGGACGCTCTACAAGGTATGAGAGAGGCTCCCTTCCTCCTAGAGCAGTATGAAGAAGGTTAAGTGACATTTGCAGAAGCAGTGGGGAGACTCACGAGAGAGTAATGCTGAACTTTTGCAGTAGACATTCCTTTACAGGAATTCTGGGGAGCCTCCCAAGCACACCGTAGAGCCACAGATGTTCCTGGGGAAGCCAGGCCCCAGGGAGAATGTCTAGGTCATTGAAAGCAGTGGGCTGAGGGAGTGGGAAGTCGTGAGGCTTTTGCAGGCGGACACAGTACTGTCAGTTTCGCACAGCCACACCATTGATGGCTACAAGAATTATGCCAGACACGGCTGCTAACGTGTTATGGATTAACAAAAGAAAACTTAGAGAGGTGTCATTTCCTAAGTTCACGTAACTAGCAAACATAAGAGCTTCATGTCCGTGCACCAGGCCTGTCTGAACTCCCAGACACCTGCTTATTGCATGGGATCTCGTGATCCCATTCACGGATTCTACACATTTGCTTCTGTAACACACTTCCTCAAAGCTCACGAGATTGCCATAAAAACACATCTTTTACATACAGCTATTTCTGAGAAAGGCTTCAATTACCCATTCTTCCATGTTTTGGGAATGCTCTGTTTGACTTCTTGGTGCTGTGTGTGTTCATATAACAGCTCAGCTGGGTGCCATTAGCACATTTTCTCCTAGAATTTAAACAGTATATTATTACGTGGAGACTAGGGAATTTTATTCCCCTGTTTTCATGAGGGTTCTTTAATTAATCCATAAATTCAGAGGCCAGGTTAGAAAAGCAGATGTCTTCTTTGAAATGTTTTCCATAATTGACTTTTTAACAACATTTCATGTAGGAATCTGAGCAGCAACAAATAAGAAGAAAAAACTTGGCATCCAGGGCTACTTTTCATTGTCCCAACATAGCTGTGTACTAAGTCAGCCCCAGTCTATGGGACAGTAGAAATGGGCTACATCCTTTTCCAGAGGAATTTGCTACATGGCATCTGAGCAGACATTTGGCTCTACTTAGCTCTGCCAGTGCTCTTAAGGACAATCTTGGGAACTGCTAATTGATGCCTATAAAATGACCTATAAAAGTCAACCTTAGCCTCCTTGACAAACCTGGATTATTAAAATTTTACTTTGTGATTAAAGACAGCAGAACCCATCTTCTAAATATATGTCTTAGGGGGATATGTCAGCTCTTATTGCCCACCGTCCACATAGTTTGTGGTACTTCTTGTCAAGAGGCTGAAATAGCCAGCAAAGGCTGTGTTTGAAGAGTTCATAGAACAGTAACAACGTAGGGTCTGTGGAGGGAAAGGGGAGAGAGAAGATTCTTTTAGGTTGTCACTCATAGTACCGCAGGTAAAATAGCCAAGCAAGCCTCTGCTCAGAGGGTAAAGGTAAATACCGTTGAACCTGGTGACCTGCATCTCCTCCCTGGACTCCACACAGTGGAAGGAGGGAACTGACCACTGAAATTTGTCCCCTGACCTCCATGCGGTCATTGTGGTAGCAAATGATCACTCTTCGCAATATAATAAATAAATGCAAAAACATTTTAAGAATGCAAGTGAGCAAAGAAAACGAGGACGGGTTGTTTGCTTATTGCATAGGTTTACATGGTAGAAACATTTATCACAATTCATAGAATCTACTAGTGTGTGTATGTATAATCAAGTCTGTCTTGGTTACTATCCCCATGACAAACAGCCTGGCTGAGTGTATTAGTCAGGGTTCTCTAAGTAACAGAATTTATAGAATGCATCTCTCCATGTATAGAAAGGAAACTTATTAGAATGATTTAGAGACTGTGGCCCAGCTAATCCAACATTGGCTGCCCATGAATAGTATGTCAAAGAATCCAGTAGTTGTTCAGTCCACAAGTCTCAGCTGGGCTTTAGTATATGCTGGAATCTCAAAGAAGGAGGCTGTAATGACATTGGAGGAATGAACTTGCTAGGAAAGGTGAGAACAAACGAGCAAAGGAAAGGGAGAGAGAGCTTCTTTCTTCCGTGTCCTTGATAGAGGATGCCAGTGGAAGGTGTGGCCACATTAAAGGTGAATTTTCCCACCTCAAAAGATCTAGATTAAAGGATTAACTTCGAACCTCAGTGATCCAGATTAGAAGTGGGTCTCCCACTTAAAATGATTCAATTAAGAAAATAAAAAAAAAAAGACCTCACAGGTGTTCCCAGTCACTGGGTTAGTTAATTCCAGATGTAGTCAAACTGACAACCATGAATAGATATCACATTAAAGCCAATTATTAAAGAAACTCGTTTAACTGGGCTTATGGTTTCAGAGGGGTAGAGCCCATGCGGCACAGCAAACAAGACAGCAGGAACAGCTGAGTGCCTGCATCTGGATCTGCAGGAGGCAGTGGAGAGAGCACCGAGAATGGTGTGAGACTTGGAAGCCTCAAAGCCCACTCCTCGTGTCACCTTCCTCCAGCAGGATAGCAAATTTTCTAACCCTTCAAAACAGTCCCCCCAATGAGGGCCCAAGTTTATATAAGCCAATGTGGGGGTGGATTCTCATTCAAACTACCAAATTCCACTTCCTAGTCCCTGTAGGCTGGCAGCCATATCACAAAGCAAAATGCATTTAATCCAACCTCAAAAGTACCCATCATCTTTTACAGTTTCCACAAAGTTTAAAAGTCCAAGTATCTTCTCAGACTCAAGGCAATCTCTTAACTGTAACCCCCTACAAAAGCAAAGCCCCAAATACTTCCAATGTACAACAGCACAGAATGAATATTACCATCGCAAAATGGGGGGATAGGAGCAGGGTGAGAAAATACTGAACCAAAACAACGCCCAAACTTCAAATCCTATAGTCTCACGTCTCATGTCAAAGGCTTAGACAGCTCAGCCTTTCCAGCTTTGCTGACTGCAACACACTTCTCTCTTTTGGGCGGCTCCACTTCCTGTCTGTAGCTCTCCTTGATTTAGGGGTCTCCCCTGCCACATGCTTGGCCTTAGTGGTTCTCCTTGACTGTAGACAATGATCCTCTGTCTTCCTTATTCTGTATCTTCATGACTCTACAGGTGGAACCATGTGGACCACAGTGCCAGGTGCAGATCCTGCTTGGGATGGAGCCTGGCCTCTTCCTTGATTTCTATTTCCATAAGCTTTCCCTTGTTGTTGCTTAGTAGAAGCATAAAATTCCTCAGGTATTTTCCTTTTAAAAATTAAAGGTTTATTTGGGCTAGGCCTTGCCCTAATGGGGCCCCTCCCTTTATTTCAGTTTACACCAGGCCTCATCTTGTCTGTTTCAACACAACACAACACTTAGTTTCCTAGTTCTCTTTTCCCCCAGCTGAACATTTTGCATTTCTTCTTGCCCTGCTTGCTGTTTCTAACTGTAGCTCTGCATAATAGTGATTGCTGATAACCACGTGACCATCAGTGTCAGGCTACCTTGAATCTCCCTTGCCAATGAAACTAATCTATTATGTTTCAATTTTGCCTCAGGCAAATTTTTAGGGCAAGGGCAAACCGTAACCACAGTTTTTGCTAGTACAGCACAGGAGTGGTCTCTAGTTCAGCTACTAGTGATCTTCTGCTCTAGTCCTCTGAAACCTCCTGAGTTGGGCTTCCCTAGCCAACAGAAGGCTTGGCACAACTGTCTTCCATGTTCTTACTAGGCTGACCCATTAAGCTCTATTTACAGCATCCAGCCACTTTCCTGGTCCAAAGTCCCATAGTCTTCCACATTTCTCCCCAAACCAGCACGGTCAGGTTTGTCACAGCAATAGTCCATGCCCTGGTCCTGTCTTAGTTACTTTGCAGTTGCTGTGAAGACCAAGGGAACTGGTACAAGAAAGCATTTGCTTGGGCTGTTATCTCAGATGGTTAGAGTACATGATGGCAGAGCAAAGGCGGGGTGGCAAGAACAGCTGGGAGCTCACATCTTGGTCCATAATTGGAGACAGAGAGATCGTTTAAAATCTCTAATCCTGTCCTCCAAGGCCACACCTTCTAATCCTGCCCCAAGCAGTTCCAATAAGTAGTCAAACCACATGACCAAGTATTCATTCTCATCAAAACCACCACAGTGTCCATGTTGGTGAGTGTGGGTTCCTATACATGTGCTTGAGTGTCCATGCACACCTGTAGGTCAGAGGTCACCCTTGGTTGTCATTCCTAATGAAGTTTCCACCCTGTTTTTTGTGTTGTTTTGAGACAGGATCTCTTACTGAATCTGGCTCTTCCAGTAAGTAAGGTTGAGTGGCCATCAGCTTTCAGGGATCCATCCATCTCCTGATTCCTGGTACTGGTTTACAGATGTGGTCTACCATACCTGGGATTTTTTCTTATTATTATGGAGCCTGGAGATAGAATTTAAGTCCTTGTAGGGCACCGCATGCCTCACTGACTGAGCTACATTCCAAACCCTGACTTTCCTTTTCCTGTGCAAAGTCTTAGACTGGGTTCCACCCCTGGAACCTGTGTGAAGGTGGAAGGAGAGAACTGATTCCACAGAACTGCCCTGTGACCTCCTCGGGTGCTGTTCTGGACATATACACACAAGAATCACAAGTAAAATAAAAATATTTAATGAAACTTGAAAGTAATAAATACTGTTGCGATACTATTTCAGAAGTCCCTGTCACTCTGAGTAGGAGCCTTCAGCTAGAAAATTTAAAGATATTAGATATTTGTTGTCACTTGCTTTCTCATTTTCTGACGAATCATTCAGAAGGATGCAGTTCTTGGTAAATACGGCAAAATTCGGGGCCTTCAGAGACACAGCAGACCTGTAGAGCCAGATTTCCCAGAGAACTTGTGAAGTTCTTCAGCCGTGTTGTAGGAGGGTTGTTTGCGTTGGACACTTTCCCACACAGAAGGTCCCGTCTGGCTCCGTGGTCCTGTTTTGTCAGAGACGATCAGTTTCTGAGCATAGATGGCATGCAACTGACACGGAATACAAACTGGTGTCTTGAATGAAATGCCGTACCTCAGCCACAAAGACTCGTGATGGCTGAATCTCAACCAGGGCAGCTCTCAGGTACTGGTAGACGATATGACTGATACTCCTGGAGCCTGGCCATGCGGCTAAATGACCACCGAGGGAGACACACTCTTGACATTGTAGGGAACAATGAATTTTAAGAGAAATAAATGCTTTCTTGCTTATGGTTTTCTCAAATTTTAACATTTGAAATGAAACTAATCTGTGTATGTGTTACATGTCAGATAATATACTGATTGCAAAAACAAGAATATTGAGGAGTGTTGTGTTTACTCATTTCACCAAGTCCAATGTTCAACTTTTATATTAACTTGTCCATTAAATTTGAAAGCATTTCTTTTCATAATGAAGAAAAGACATTTTCAGTGGTTCGTGTTAGTTATCAACATTGTATCAGCTGAAGAAAGATTTCTTGTGACATATGAGGTCTCATAAATATCCCACAAGTTTCCGTATTGTATTTTCTGCTTTACATGCTTTGATCAAGGTTACCTTGTGTCTCCTTTTATTTTTATGGTGCCAAATGGAAATTCAGTGGTGGAGGAAAGAGCAGCCGTCAGCTCACATGAGCAACCCGAGCAAGCTGCACCAGAGGAATGCACACCAGAGAAGGAATCAGCCATCAAGGAAGATGAACGTTCCCAGCCTGAGGATGCTAACGCTGATGCTCAACTGAGGAAGAAAGCAGAGACAGAGGAAGCTGAAGCCCGCCATACCCTGGATGCTGACATGGCTGTTGGGCTGAGGGAGAAAGCAGGGATTGCAGAGGTCTCCTTGGGGGAGAGGAGCCCCAGGGAAGAGCAGCCAGCATTAGCAGAACAGTCTTCAAAGAAAGGAGAACACCGTCTGAGCACAGCTAGTGAGGCTGAAGCTGAGGCTGAGGCAGGCACAGAAAGACATAGCACACACGATGAGAAACATTTCATACCCCCAGGAAAACCAACAGCGGTTGACTCAGTGTTTCTAAGTGGAGACCAAGCTCTGGACAGTCAGAGGGATATGGGCTCTGACAGGCAGACAGTTATGGAGAAAACAAAGACAGTTTCTGAAAGTGAACAGATACTGGAAAAGGCAGCGCTCACAGAGAACTCAGCGCTTAGCTCAGAGATACTTGGGGAATCAGCAATTCCAAAAGAAGCAGAGGTTTCTGAAATGGAGGAGGGAAAAAGAGAGGTGGGCTCCTCAAGACCAGATGGGAACCAAGGCACAGAGGGAGTCCTCACAGAGCTAGAGGATATGGAGCCTGTGGCGGACACAGCACCAGAGAGAGAGGATGGTTTTGAAGAGGCAGTACTTGGAAGAGAGACAGCAGCTACAGGGAGGAAGGAAGTTCTAGAAGCAGAAGCACCCTTGAGTTCCTCAGGAGGAGGGGCAAGCTCCACGGAGCTTGTCCAGGGCAACCCCGAGGAACCTTGTCAAGAAGACACAGCAAGGGAGGGGGTTACAGCTGGCGCAGAATCTGCCCTGGAACAGGATCCCAGAGCAGTGCTCCCTGGGGAATCTGCTGCAGCTGAAGATGGGAGGAAAGTCGAGAGGCCCTCCACACCTGTGAGAGACTCTGGATCTAAAAGAGAAGTGGAGACAGGGGTCAAGGTGTTGAAGACGGCAGAGAAGTTAGAAGAGCAAAAAGTTAAAGGGGAAGAGGAGGGCACAGAGAAGGAAATCGGGTCTGGGGGAGAGGCCCATGTATCCCCCAACAAGATGGAGCCTGATACTAAGGACATAGATCCCACAGGGGCAACTGAGTTGAGTAAGGACCCAAGGCTTCTAGAAGATGCATCCAAAGAAAGAACCATCGCCTTGTTTGAAGCAAAACCTCAATTTGGGAAGTCACTGGGAGAGAATGAAGCCACAGCCACAGAGCACAAAGGAGAAGAGGTTCCAGGCCAGGAGAGTGAGGCTCCATTGCAGCAGAGGAACCCACTAAGCCATCGTGGAAAGGGCTTGTTAGGAGACCCTGGACCTGAGCCAGCAGGCAGAGCTCTGGGGCCTGAGAGTACTTTCACAGCCGGAGGTCAACAGGGGGCTTCCAAGGAGCTAGGCAGCCTCGAAGGACCAGAGAGACTGCGTGAAGAAGGGCCTTTGCAAGTGCAAAGAAGGGACATCGTGATGACACACGGAGATCTTCCAGAGGAAAGACTCCCCAAAGCAGAGGTGTCCGGTAAAGAGAGTGAGGGTGAGAAGCCGGAGGAAGAGGGGCCTGAGGATAAGGAGCACTCTCCAGGGACATTGGCTGGTAGCCTGGCAGGGCAGGACACAGTCAAAGATGAGGAGGATCCACGTGGAGGAGGGGTTGAAGAAACAGCTTCAGAGCAGGCAGAAGAACTGGCAGCGTCAGTGTCAACTTATGGGGACAGTGTGGCCTCCTCCTCTGCAGCTGTCCAGAAGGAGGCTTCAGGAGAAACAGCAGCTGAGGAAAGGGTGACGACTGAGGACATGACGCCAAGCACTGAGAAGGTGGCAGTGGTAAAGGAAGTGACATCAGCAGAGGCTGCAGAGATCACACAGGAACCATAGGCTCCTGAAGTGCAGGACTGGGGAGGGGGAAATGCCTCTCAGTGTGACAGGGGAGGAGGCAGATGAGGGATACCAGTGAGGAGCAGCTGAAGAGTTCAGAGGACCAGTGCCTCAAAGAGAGACAGAGCTCACCAGTGTTTAGGGTAGCACTTCCCAGGAAGCTGGAGTTTTCTAGAACCCTGTGGGAAACATCTGGAGAAACTGCACAGAGAACGCGAGCGTGCAGATGTTCCCTTGAGCACAGCGGAGTCTACTGTGCTCCTTACTTGCAGCCTTCAGTTGCAGTTGCTCAGCCTCACGCGGGCCTGACGGCCAACAGGACACGGGGGAGGAGTAGAGCTCACAGAGGAGGCTGCTGGGCTCTCTATGTGGCCATTATTTGGAGGGTATCTTTGAAAGTGGGGTTCCCTGAAGTGAGATCTTTGTTTCTCATGAGGCTCAAGGACAAAATACATAATACACAGAGAAATCGGACACTGAGGAGCTGTGGGAGGGGAAAGAACATGAGCAAAATATATTGTATACTAAGCCGGGCGATGGTGGCACACACCTTTAATCCCAGCACTCGGGAGGCAAAGGCAGAGGCAGGTGGATCTCTGTGAGTTCGAGACGAGCCTTGTCTACAGATCTAGTTCCAGGACAGGCTCCAAAGCCACAGAGAAACCCTGTCTTGAAAAAAAAAATATATTGTATACTAATTAAAAAGGTGTACAGAGAAGAATGTGCCCCCGAAATAAGGGGTTAAGCTCACTCTAGAGTTCTTTCCCATTAATTTTTTCATACACACGCATAATGTGTTTTGATCAAATCCACCTCCTCCTCTCCCCTCCAACTCCTTCCAACCCCCCACCCCCACTTTAGGGTTTTGAAGAATGGAATAGAGTTCACCTGTGGTCATTTAGTTTTGTAAGGCCTCTTTGCTTTTACCTCTGATGTTTTACAAAGTTTAATAAATGTATGTCTTCCATACATAGATTACAAATACTTAATATCCAAAGTTTAGTGTACATATATTTAATAGCATTTAAACACCTAAGTTCTGAGTAGGGGGTAAACATGTCCGGTTATTTCTGACACTCCATGGCCTCATTAGTCCTCAGCTCCTATTATTTTGAACGATTTTATCCACTGTGCTATCTTTTCCCCAGCATATTGTGAATTGTCACAGTTGAAGATGCAGAGTGGAAATGCTGAGGCAGGAAGTTCACCAGGGCTTCAGGTTGTCTTTTCACTCACTGCTGGCCTTCCTTGGTCTTGGTCTGTAGGCGCTGGTCAGTAGGTTAATCACCATGGTGAGAAGGGCTTAGGTAGATTTGCCCTCATGGGAGCTGCGGTCCCAAACAGAGACTGGGGAAATTGAACATTCTGCACAGCTGTATTTAAACTGAAGCGATGGTTTTCAAACATTTGACTTTTACCAAAGATTACCAGAAGGTGAGTCCTGATGGTTTGAATTTGTTGAAATCACTTTTATTTTACCATTAAATATTAGCCCCATCTTATCCATGGGGTTCTGTCTTCATCACCAATTCTTTGGAAATGAGCTGCTCAGTGTCTTTCATGTCCACTTAAAACTGAAGATTGCCTCAATCCTTTCCAAGTCCTTCCAGGAAAAGGATTCCATGGTATGGAAATTCACTTTTTCTTGGAAACATTAATTATTCCTATTTACACCTGGAGTGTGTGTGTAAAATAGGAACTTTCCTGAAAATACCCTTTGTTTGTATGCCTTTGTGGCCCATTTTCTCTGATAGACTAGCAAAGTGTGGCTTTCAGCATTTTATCCTTGGTAGTGTTATTTTTCAGGCTGCTCACAAATGCAAACAAAAATGTAAGTACTTCATCTAATTGTAATGTAAATGTAGTGACTGTAATGGGAAGAAGTTCATCACACACACTCTTGGAAGACATGATCAATCACAAATGCTCTGGGAAGATGTGCTCCATCACACACACTCTGAAAAAACGTGGTCCATCACATATACTGGGAAGATGTGGTCCATCACACATACTCCAGGAAGTCGTGGTTCATCATGCACACTCTGGGAAGACGTGGTCCATAACACACACTCTGAAAATACGTGGTCCATCACACACTCTCTGGGAAGACGTGGTCCATCACACACTCTCTGGGAAGAGGTGGTCCATCACACACACTCTGGAAAGACGTGGTCCATCACACACACTCTGGGAAGACATGGTTCATCACACACATTGGGAAGACAAGATCCATCACACACACTCTGTACCTGATGCCATCCTGAAGATCTGCAGCTTGTGCTCCTTCCAGGGTTCTGCCTGAGTGATCACAGTTATTCTTCAGATGGTGCCCAGATATAATTTCCTAATTGGGTAACAACATATTCTGAGCATCAAATTTTCTTGAAGACATCCCTACACCATGTTCCAAAGCTCACATAACTGACCCCATTTCAACAAGAGAGGAGATGAGAATTATCCAAGGCAGCAAGTCCCCAGCCAGAAGGAGAATCAACCTTTCATGGGGTACTTTCACGACTGAACTCTTTTCCCTGCCACAAAGCTTCAGATATATTTGGTTATAAATGAAGCTAAGTCTCACTATTTTATTTTTTCTTTATTCTATGTAGCCAAAGTTGTGGACCCCTTTCCTGAGTCACCAGATAGTCATGCTGTCTGCCATCTGCTCTGTGTTGCTATTGTTAAGGTGTCCTGTTGTTACAGATGGTTTCATTTTGATGAACAATGGAGTTTTTTGAAAATCAATGATATACCAGAGTAGACATATTGGAACAGAGAGGGGACGGATCACTTTATCACAGACATTATCACCTAGAGTTTGCCACCTGCCCTCCTCTCGTAATTAGAAACTGCATAGGGCATTGGAGGGGGAGGGGCTAGAAACTGCAGCTTTACCACACCTTGGAGGTGATTCTAATGTGCACCAAAGCCTGGACTCTGTTCAGGTAAATCACTGTTTACACAGAGGCCTCATGGGGGTTGGAAAACAGGCTGCAGGAGCATTGTCCTTGGGACAAAGCATACAACTTGTCCTCCTGTATGGTCATTCTAAAGGAGATGGTAATCAGCACTGAAGTATGATTGTCTGGGTATTTGGGACTTGCCTCTCCCCCTGAAGAACAGGTTGACTGAATCTGACAGCAGCCTCCCTGCCCTCTTCTCTGATCCATGGCTGGATCTCATCGATTCCACATCTGGTTCCCCGGCATTATCGCCACCACTCTAGGCCTCCACCCCACATTATCCTCCATGCCACAGAGCACGTTGAACAAAAGCACTGATGAGAAGGATTTGGAAAACTTGTTAATCACTTTGAAAAATGAGTTTTGTACAATGTGCTAAATGGAAATCGCCTCGGATTATTTTTATATTTAACACCTCTCTCCAGCCCAGCCTGTAGCACAATTCTACAATCTGCATGTGGGCTTAACTGTGAAATTCAGTGTTGTGTTGTTTTGATTGAGTGAATTTTATCTTTGCAAATATTACATCAATAAAATTATGTTTAGTGAAACTGATTTTTCCATAGTTTCTTCGCTATTAAAAAATAAGTAATACATTTAACAGGCGTAATAGGAGAGTTTTCTTGGAAACAAGATTAGACTTTCAATATATTTTGTGTTATGTTCTTGCAAAAATTCAAATGATAAGAGCATACAAAAGAGACATAGTCTTATAGGATTATGTTTTTAAGTGTGTTTGTAGACCGCCTGCATTCACTGGCACCTTCTGTATTCCTGGGATAATGCCAGAGAGGAGACATTCCCACCTCTTTACCCACAAATGTAAATAGAAGCTCAGTGGAGTTAAGTGCTTGTCTAAAATCACAACCTCAGGTCATCTAACCTGTGCTTTAGACTAGTTATCAAAACATTATAAATTACATCTAGGAAGGTTCTAGATGCGTGTACTAAGAGTCTCCACATGTTTCTGCTGAAGGAGGAAGCATCTTACTAACACATCTAATAATAGCAAGACGAAACTGTGTTTCCAACCAGTGCTCAGCAAAGAACAAAAAGGTCTGTACGATTCAAAAGACAACAGACAGCCAAGGAAACTTAGGAAAAATTAGGCTTTGTGATTGAATTTTGAGGAAAACCTTTCCTGTCATTTTATAAACTTCCACGAGGTAAATTTACAGCTTAGGTGAGTTATCTAACCTCCTTATGATCAATAATTTGCCACAGTTCTTGCCCTTGGAAAATGATTGTTTGAACAAAGAAGAGAAAAATCTCAAAGGAATTTATTTAGTGGGTGAAATATTTGAACAGGCTCAAGGACAGCCCAAGAGATGCCACTTATGACCTTGGGTAATATTTCCTCCAGTCCTTTTCTACACTCAATTTTGTCATAAAAAAAAAGGAATTCCCTGTCATCGTGGTTTACAGAAGAGGTGCAAGAGAATGGAACTAAATAAAGCTGAAACTCTTTAAGAATCTCCCAAACTACTGCTTCAGAAACCACTCTGACTGATCCTTCCTTTGATTTTTTTTTGTTCAGTTTTCTTTCTCCCTATACACCCAATGACAGGAAAGCTGTGCCCTCCACAATAGCAGGAGATTCATCTCAAGAGATGAGAGTGTGGGGTAACTGAGGTCAAATGACTTTTATAATTCCCTCCAGAATGCCCAAACTTTTTAGTATATCTGTGACCCTTGCAATAATCTGTACTGTGGCTGTATACCACTCTTATAAGGGAAAAGGAGGTATATTGTTATCTGTGACTCTTACACTAATTTGGCATGTCTTTGTATACATGTTTTATGGGGGAAAGGAGATCTATAGAAGGTTCTGAGACAAGCTGCTATCAAACTATCTGCTTTGCAGATGTCTCCTGGTCTTTGTTCAGTGCATATTCACAATTCAAGGCATAGTAAGGACTCATGCATACTGGGAGAAATCGCCTAGGTCATCAGAAGTCTGGGTATGGTTGTAACACAGGGACCTTCAGGCTGGTGTAACGATACCCACAAATGGAGATGGATTCTTTTTGGTGTACTGTCAAGGGTAGACTGAGTGCATGATGTAGAGATTCAAAAGGGACTGGCTTTAATGGTTAATTAACAAATCTTCCTGAAAATGGGTTCCAACTACGTGCTTCCCATAGAACTAACTGAGGACCAGACCGAACTTTCAGCTGATAATCTCTTAAATATTATATTTTAGTATTTTGTTGTCCTGTGAATTTTGTTAAATTAGTCACAAGGAGTTTTTATGAAGAGCGTTTTTACACAATGTAATAAGCTCCTTCATTCCCACCCACTTAGTATGTGATATGCATAAATATTATGTTTTTTCATTTATAAATATAAGACACAGAGTGGAAGAAAACTGATGCTAAATGCTCTCATTCTAGCAAGAAATAACATTCCCTCACAGCTACATAAACTAATTAAAAATAGAAGCCACTGTTCTCAGAGATACATCTTTTAAGGTTTTTTGTGTGATGTTTATTAAAATTTATGATGTATATATGTTGTCTTGATCAAATGTGGACTTCTAATAATTCCAATGGTGATCAATCTAGAAGAAATTTAATACAAAGAGCCTTGTGGTCATAGGGAATTTTTTAAATTAAATTTTGACATGTATATTGGTTTAGTGGCAGAAAAATATGTTAGAATGAGCAATAAAACAACCAAAATAGAAAGTCCTACTTAGGAGCATAAAATTCCTTTCACAAAGTGGTAGGAAGATATAAGTTTACAGGAAAATTACAGCATTTTTTTCTAATGTTAAACAAAAGTTTAGTCACGTACCTTTGACAACAGATGTTGGAGGTCAGGCTCTCTGAGATGTGCTTCAGTATTTGTGAGATGTGGGTTTCCCTCTGTGTGCTATGATTACCATTAATGAATAAAGAAACTGCTTTGGACCTATAGCAAGGCAGAATTTAGCTAGGCAGGGAAAGCTAGGCTGAATGCTGGGAGAAACAAGGGCAGAGTCAGAGAGAAGCTATGGAGCCACCAGAGACAGATGCTAGAAATTTTACCCAGTAAGCCACAACCATATGGCAATATACAGATGAATAGAAATGGGTTAAATTAATGTAAGAGTCAGACAATAAGAAGCTAGAGCTAATGAGCCAAGCAGTGATTTAATTAATACAGTTTTGGTGTGATTATTTCGGGTCTAAGCTAGATGGGCAGCCAAGAACCAACAAGCAGCCTCTCTTCCTCTAACATTTGTGTGTTTGCTGGGACAGGCTTTGGAAACAACACTGTAGTCATCGAGGACTCTCTTCTGGGCTGAGAGAAAGGCTGTGATGTGGTGTAGTTTTGGAACATCTGCATACCACTCTGAGGAACCATGGGCCATGAGGCCTGAGGGAAGTCTGAGGGTAGGTCTCTTGATTCCCACAGAAATCCAGTCCCTCCTTAACCCTGGTCAGGGACTCTCTGTATTTGAGAGAAGTTTCCATGCAGAAAGTCCCACCTTACCTCCAGCCCAGGCATCAAGGAACCAAATGTGTTCACTCTGAAGGAAACTTCATGGTGAAACCCCAAAAAACCCCACTGTATAGGTAAAACCAACGGCAAAGGCTGTGGAATCTTGACCCCAAGACTGCAGGAAGAAGAGTACTATAAGCATTTTAACAAAGAGGGTCTGATTTTATAACTTTGAAATTATATATCTATAATTTCCACTTAAGTATGCGAACAGTTTTAGATGTACTGCTTGTAAATGTGTCCTAATGGTTCTACAATCCTTTCAGAGGTCAGAGTCCTGGTTTAAAAGGCTGAATAGTGGACACTCTGCTTCCCATGCCTCCTTGTCTGCCATTTACTGTTGAGTGATTTGCCAAAGACTGCATACATTCCTGAAACGTTTTTGGCTTTATAGTGTTAAAGTGATACTTGCTGACCAATTAATAAGCAGACCATGAAGTCTTTTATGTGGCGTCTGCTGAGATCTAGGCAAGGAAGCATGGGCTCATCTTGTGCCCAAGTGACCAACAGAGTCCTCTAGGACTCTGAGGAGCAGAGTTCAGCAGTGTCCCTGGGAAGAACCAGCGTGTAGCATGCCGCTTGCAGCACCCCACCGTCCTGTTATGGTTGGAGGTTGGAGCAGCCTCAGGCACTAGAATGAGTTGATGTGGCTCTGTTGCACCAAAAAAAAAAAAAAAAAAGTATTCAAAATGCATGAGTTGGAAGACTCATCTTGAGGACTATAGCTTCATATCATAGCCTCTGCTAAAGTCTACAGGATGAATAGGTCTGAGCTGTAGACTAGTCCTGACTCCTCAGTTTGCTCTGACAATGTCCCTGACAGCAAACATATTAAAAAACCAGAAGAAGGACTGGTTTTTGTTCCAGTTAGAAGGGGAGAGTCCATCACAGTGAGGTCATGTTGAAGGAGCATAAGGGTGATGGTCAAACCATGGCCACAGTCAGGAAGCAGAGAGAAATGGGTCCACATATTTGACTTGCTTTCTCCTTTTTATTCAGTCCAAGGGGTCCAGCCCATGGAATTAGAGTGGATCTTTCTACTACTTAATATAGAAAAGTTCTCGCAAACATGCCCAGAGGTTGGTTTCATTGATGATTCTAAACCTGTTCTAAAAGTCAACAGTCAGATTATCTGTAACAGTAATGAAACATATTTCTTC